GAACACACATTGTGCCTTTATACGTACATAACTATGCCGTTATTTGACCGATCAGGAGAGCTTCAGCTTTTGTGTCGACCATGTGCGGGATGCAGTGATAGCCTGCTCCTAATAGCCCATGTAATCGGCTTCTGTATAATCTCTGTGATGCGTGACTGTGTGCACAATATTGTGAGGATACGGTGCGCGAGCACCCGTTTGATGTTCCCGTGTGCAAATCCTGCCTCCGTCCGTTTGATGTGAGTGTTTACCAGTCTGCCGGCGTTGCCCGGCTTACCAAGAGCTGGTTTCTTTTATGCATCAAGTGTGTACAAACTCAGCCGAGGATTACTCAGGGAATTCAATCCCATGTGGCTCAGAGTGGCGCGCACTCGTCCGCGCTTGAACTGCGCAGGACGTGCTCGTCCGTGGGTGCGGCGCCGGCCTCTGCCAGCGGACGCAGCCCGTTCGAGTGGCTCGTGCGCAGCGCTAGTGTTCGTTGGCAGCGGTGCGCGGACGTAGGCCGGCCGGCCGGCTGACGGCTGGCTGGCAGGCGAGCGCGGGCTGGGTGGGGGCGGGTGTGGCGTGCCAGGCTCGCTCGGCCCAGCTGGGCTCGGGCCGCCGCCAGTGACCTTGGCTGCGGCACAGACGGCCGCCTCCGCCGGTGGCAGGGCTCACCTCCGGCCCGTGCAGGCGGCAGACGCGGCCCGCTGCGTGGCAGAGATAAATAAATGATGCGCGCTGCGCTGGCCGTGCCGGCTGAAATATGGATACGTTGGAAGTCGGCTGAAAGTTTCACGTGGGACAGGCGATTAATGGGACGGCCCGGATGCCAATGGGGCTCACTGAGGAGGTTGTGGCCAGACTCGCGGCCCAGACCCCGTCGTCGTATTCGGCAGCGTCATGGGTCCCCTGGCTGGCCGGTCTGGCGGCCTAGCGGCGGGTCGCTCAGGTCGCGTCCGGTGGCGCACTGACAGGCCGTGCAGGCGCTTGATGGCAACCCCCCGCCACCGGGTTCGCGGTCCGTACCCCACCACCGCCCGCCCCGCAGTGTTCTGGCCTTCCTGGCCCGCGGCCAGGTAACTTGCGAGTCGCAGGCGGCAGTGGCGCGACGTCGGTGCGTTTATAGACGTGTTTGTGCGCGGCGGTGCGTCGCGGCTGGCGCCCGACGGCCCGTGACGTCTGCCGTTGCACGCGCAGATCGAATCGGCCGGGGAGCCCGGCTGTGGCCGACCGCCGGCGGCCGGGTGTCGGTCACTGCACGTCACTGACGCTGTCATGCAGCGGCGGCGGAGGCAGCCGCGCTCTGTCGACTCGGCGCGCTGAAGCCGCGGCTGCCGTCCCTGCGGTGTGTCTGGCTGAGCGGCTCACGTCTGGCGCTGGCAGTGCGGCAGGGAGGCGGATCAGGATGGAGTTGCACTTTTCGAAGAACCGCTCCGCATGTCAGAGGCACCGCATTTCGCGTAACACCCATCTCATGTGGGCGTTGACATTGCCTGCCTCGGTCGCTGGGAGCAGGTGCGCTCTTGCGGTAGGGCGCACGGTGGGGCAAGACGACTCGTTCTGTTTGCCAAACCGCAAGGCTATCAAAACACAGACATGTTGAAAATTCACGGCCGTTATTAGGCCATGCGTCCCCAACGAGCTGGGTGCAGACGGCGAGGGAGCATGCGCCCAGCCAGTCGCCGGAGGGGGCAGGCAGCTGCTTCTCCGCGTCTGGGTGCTAACCACCAATCACAGGCCAGCCCGCGACCGCACCACTTCGATCTCACATGCCTTGCGGCTTCACGGAATTTAATTATCTCGTCCAGTGCTGTAAGACTGCTGTACGGCGGTGCAGTAAAGGGCCATTTGCGAAGCGTTGCCGTGACACGATTTCAAATTTCTGTGGGCATGCACTATGGTGCGAGCAGACCGGCGGGATATGGATGCCTATGGGGGGATAGAGGAAGCCGGTGGTGGACGCGAGCGGGTTGAGTAGTGCGTTTGGAAGTGCTTGCGATCGCGGGCAGCTTGTTCATCGCGCTGTGCCTTCTTCCATGCAGCGTGCGCGCCTCGAAGGCGGAAAGGTATAGGCTTTCCTGCACACTGCCTTGTCGCCAGTTTTTAAGTTTGCGTTGTTGCACGATCCTACATTCGCTGTGAGGTGATTCGAGCAGCGCACGCCCCTCCCCTCCGGCCTCGTGCAGACCACGTGAGGCCGCCTCACAGGCCTTGTCATGTATGTTCTGACCGGGGCGGTGGTGCCGGCCTGCCTGCGCGCCCGCAGTGATGCCGCGGTGCGGCCGGCTTGTCCCCGGCCGCGGAGCGAGCCAGCGAGGTCAGCGGGCGCCTGGCGTTGGCGGCGCCCCGGGCCCAGCGGCCGAACCCGTGTCGGCGTCCGCTTGCGAGCTCGCCGAGCCGGCTGCTGCTCGCGTTGTGCTGTGCCACTTAACAGTGTGTGCAGGGCCGGCCGCACCGTGCGTTTGCCCCCTCCGGTGCATTTTGATTATTTTAAACGGGTCCTGGCCGATTGTGTGGGTCAAGGGTAAAGGGCGGTGGTCCATATATTGACGTGGTCGTTTCCACCGCACTTGGTGTTCGAGTTTTAAGGCTATGCTGTCTCAGTGAGGCTGGTGAGACCTGTGGCGACAGCGCTGATTATGTGCCGCGACGATATGACCGGAACACGCTGCAGTGCCGCGTGACGGTCAGAACACTGTCAAAGAGAAAAACTTCCGTAGCTTCCAAATTAGCGCACACTATTTAAAGGAGCGAAGTGCTTTGGGCATGCATGGGTCATTTCACTGATTTCGAGTCCAGAAAATGCAAGCGGCTTGCGTGCAGTTTATTTCGCATTCCACCATGGTATCTTATCGTCGCATGTGCAACCAGTATCGCGTTGTGTGGCCACTGAACAGACGCTATGGAATGGAACGCAAGTTGACGTCAAGTAAATTACTTTCACGTGCAGCTAGAGGTCCTTCATCTATGTTAATAGACGTTAAAATGTATATCAGCTCACCCCGCACAGCCAACTGCGATCTGATTTAATATCTGATCCATGCCGTTTGCACTCAGTGATGTACATAACGCCTTTTTTGTAAGGATGCTTAAAGCTCTGATGAACATGACACATGGAGCAGCCTCCATTGCTTCCCTGCATGCTCACATGTGTACCGTCTGTCCAATGACGGTGTCGATTCCTGCGGTTCTGCGTCGGTTCTGGACATTTTACATAGAGTGACTCTTATTCCCCCGCGCAGCAGCCTAACTTAGTTGAAACATGCATTCGTGTTTTGTGCCTCCCCTTGCGCAGCGACGGTTCAGTTATGCTCAGTGACGTAAAAGAAAACATTGCCACGCTCCTATATAGCAAGTTGATGCGTCCGTGGCACCACCGCAACGTTCAGCAGAAGTTAAGCCTGCGTGTAACTGGTGTGTGCGTGAAGTTTCCCAAAGCCATGCTCAGTTTTCCCCAAAGGGATCATTGCCGCAGAATTCCGTCATATCCGCAGCCCAGCACTCACCGTAAGCGCCGTGACTCCGTGCATGTTTTGTGTTTCTGCCCGCGTCACGAACGTGTCCGCCGCCCGACTTGACGGGTCCCACCTCAGCCATCACGAACGGACTCGCCGTGCTCCCACGCCGCCGGCCGCATTGTGGTGGCAACACACCATAAAAATTGAATGTCTGCAACTCCAAACCATAAATGTGGGCAGCTGTCAAGAGCGGATGGAACATTGTACGGTACAACACAACGTGGTGCAGCGTTTGCCAAGTGTGTGTTCATGTTAGTCACGCGTATTCTGTGCAGCATAGTGTTGTCTTTACTCGCTTTAATACAAAACTACATTGGCTGTTTAAGCGTTGCGCATTTTGTTCCAATTTGCAATTCCCTCACTCCAATGGTGTAACTTGATATTCTACTCAGAAATCGCTGAACTATGGAAATTCGGTCTTTTGTTAAGTGGGCAAGGAAGGCCAGTGCAACGGCAGTACTGTTGTCTGCTTGTACTGTGTGATAGTCTTTGCCATTATCGTATCAATCATGAAAAGGCAGCTAAGCTGTTTTGAGACCTGGTAATCAGCCCCAATCTCGGAAGCCGCTATTGCGTTGCAATCTTTACCGCTCGATATAGGCCAAGCCCGATATAGACAGGGCAGCCACTGGCGATCAGAGGTCCAGTGGGCGCCATAGTGACTTCGGCAAGGTGGCTGTCCAAACTTTGCGGGGTCTTTCTCTGGTGTGCGTGGTTATTTGGAAAGCTATGAAATGCGTAGTTGACGCAGTTTTTGTTTTCGACTCAAGATTTATAAGTCACCTTATGCTATAAAGGGTTACCTAGATATGCACGCGAAACCGGGAGAGCGCATTTAGCAGATAACGGTCCCATGACATCAATGAACTGGCGCCTGAACGGCCGTTTTCACCCTAGCCAGCAACTGCGGTCCAAATGTGCCAATAATTCTGAGTTAATTACATCAACACAGATGAATGAAACAGCTGTTTCATAAAGACCCATGTGATTCAAATGTGGCATTTTCGCCAACGTAGCTGCCACAATGTTTGCAACGCTTGTGATCCCGTTTGCATCCAAGCACGGATTGATTGATCGCGTGTGCTTTGTGGAGGCCGGTCACGGCGTGAGCATTGAGCCTCGGCTTTTTTATATTCTCGGACGAACAACAGGATATGGGTAAGAAGTGCTCGAACTAAACCGGGTATTTTGGACATCTTAATGAATGTTGTTTCGCACCGCACACCATAATACCTTCATTCAGCAGCATTTCGCTGTTCTAGGCACCGTGAAACGCGCCCTCTTTCTGCCATTGACAACCCTCTGACGAATGCTTACGCTATCCCATTTCGCCAGCGGTCTGTTCGTTCCCATTTGTTCTCACCAGGCATGCATACGGGGTGTTCCGTCTCAACCACATAACCTGCCGCCGCCGCCGCCGTCGCTGCCGCCTGACGGGCCGCCCCTCCTCCGCCAGGCAAGCCGCCGTTCTTCCCGGGCCTAGACGAATCTGCGCACCTGCTGGACGAGCACGGCCTGCTGGACGGCCTGCCGGCGCTCAGTCCGTCGCGCACCTCGCCCCGCTCCTCCGGCTCGGGCGACAACGGCGAGCGCTACTCGCGCAAGGTGTTCGTCGGCGGCCTGCCGCCCGACATCGACGAGGGTGCGTTCCTTCCCGGCCCGGCCGGCCATCTTGCCCACGGGTGCGGGGTCACGGGACCGTTGGCGGCACTGTTTACAGAGGTGGCGCGTGTGTTGGCGGCCGGCGCTCAGCCCGCCGACTTCCAGGAGCAGGTGTGCGTCGGGGAGGCGTTAGCGACGGAGGCCGCCGCTGCTCCTCTCGGCGACGCTGCGGCACGGCCGGCGCCTCTGTCACGGCCGCTGCGCTCCTGCAACGGCCGCCCCACGTCCGAACGCACTGCATGGTCAGAGGCTCCCACGCACGCGGGCGCCTTGGCTGGGTGGCGGGGAGAGGTCTTTCGGGCGACCCACCGGCCATTCGTGACCTGTTGTGACCGCGGTGCGGCGCGTGGCTGGACAGGGATGTGACCTCTGAGAAAGTCGTGCGAGCGTTTGTTGGTATTTCTATTGTCGAGCTAGAAGCAGGCTTATCTTTATTTTTAAGTTCTATGCTTTGCAATTTTTGTTTGTGTTTGGTCCAGTTAGCTACTAGCTTACTCATGACAATCGTTTAATGCACCCTTACGCCTGCACGTTAGGCCCTGAATCTTGATAATCGTGTTAATTCTGTACTTTCCCCGCGTGCTGCATTGTGTTCCTTTGCGCGGGTCTTGTGCTCTTTCATCAGCTGGTCGGAAAGTTCGGGCGGTAGTTTGAAGTCTTTTCCTGGTCTTAATTACTAACTTTTCAAACTTTGAACTAACCATCCTTTAATGAGCCTTACCCTCTAAACCTAGCAAATCAATTGAGAAATGTCGCTTCAAATTCTCATTCTTTGCATGAAATGTTTTTTGGGCTCCATTTTGCGTCTCCCTCACTTATTGGACGTAAATAACCGGACTATTTAACCGTATGGTCATAAAATGCGATTGGGTGGGGCGGCGCGCGCACCATTTCCGCCGTCTGGCCGGTTAGTGTCGAGCGGGCGGGTCACCGCCGCCGGCGACGGCGTCAACAACAGCGAATCTCCCCGCTAGTAGGCCCAGCCCTTTTATCAAGCGGCAGCCATAAATTAGCCGGGCCGGGCCGTCCTTTTTTTCCTGTCGTTGCTGGGTGGCAGAGATGACAGTTTATGAGCGCGGGAGCGTTGTTTGCGTGGTCGAATCGATGCGTCCGGCGGGCGGCCGCGCGGCCATGATATACGCGGCCAGTCCGCCGGCCGGGATAGATGATGATGACGGTGGCCGGCCGGACCCAGGGGAGCGGGCCGGCCGGCTGCCTCGCCGCCGTGTGTGGTGCCTCCCCGCCGTCGGGCTATGCCAGCGGCGCCTCCGGACGGCCGCAGGACAGACGTCCGTCGCCGGCCGGCGGTTGCCGGCCGTCACGGGAGGCGGCTCATCTGCCTCGGCGGAGGACGCGGGACTGACCGCCGGTCGTCGGCTCTGTTGCAGAGGAGATCACGGCGTCTTTCCGGCGCTTCGGACCGCTGGTGGTCGACTGGCCGCACAAGGCCGAATCAAAGTCGTACTTCCCGCCCAAGGGATACGCCTTCCTCCTGTTCCAGGTAACAGACTGCTACTGCGTGGCGGAGTAGCCGCCATACCGCCGCGCTGTGCTGAATTGACACCGCCGTTTTCAGCTAAGTGCCTTTGGCGGCGCGTCGTTCACCTGACGGCTGGCACACTCGATTACGGGCACTCCTACAAGGTGAAACATCGAGCTATCATGTGCGTGCGTCGCAGCGCGGCGGCTATCTGCGGGCCAGGACGAGTCGCGGTCGTGTGATCTCCAACGGCAACTGGCGGCGATAGGGACGTGCTGACGGAGCGTGATAAGGCATGAACCGCACACAAAGGCAGCACCCGTGACTGCCGGGTGTGGAGTGTGGCGGGTGACGGGTCGAGGGGCGCTGGTGCGGCTGCCCGGCCGCGCCACGAGTGCCCATTTCCCGTGTTGGGCACAGCTGATGGCCGGGCGCGTCTGTGCGGCGTAACGAGCGCGGCGGGGGCGGCGCGTGCCGTGCGGGCGGGCGGCGGCGCTCGGCGGCCGGGAGCCCCGCCCAGGTGTGCGCGGTGGGCGGGTCCGGCGGCGCTATTGATCCGCCCACCGGCGGGCGGGGGCGGAGCGCCGCGCGCCTCGACGATCGATGTCGCTCCAGTCACCTGCCGATCGGCCCAGATCGGCCGCCGTCGGTCCGCTCGATACTATCGATCCGGCCCGGCCCGTCCGCCCCGACCGTCGACAGATGTGCGTGCCGGCGGCTGTGGCGCCCGCCCAGACTGCGCCGCCGTCTCGGGTTGGGCGGGCGCTCCTCCGGCCTAGGCGCGGATTAGTCCTCCCGCAACGGCCTTTTGTCTCGGCTATCAAGGGGATTTCGTCCAATCTGAAAATCTGCTGCGGGGCTTCGCGAGTCGAGCTTTGAAAAGATTTTCTAAGTGGGTGGAGGAGGCTGCGGACTTTCCCGCGGTCTTTTTCGTCCTAGCAATGCTCGACCCGTCTGGGCTGCGACGTCGTTAGCACCAGCGTTGAACGTCAATCAATACCACCGCCATCATCACCAGTGCCTTCAGTACTAGTGCCCTCAATACTACTGCCTTTGGTACCACGGCCTTTAGAACCACTGTTCCGAATCGAGCCACGCCTGGGTGACGTGTTGTGTTTTTTCACGCTGCCCTGCCATTGAACTGAACACATGGATGGATATTTCGTGCTTTATGGGAGGGCAGCTCTACCACGTACAGCGCATGCAGATGCCAATGCCAAATTGACGCTTGTTGTCAAGGTGTTCGCCCACCGGCGTGCTCTCAATGAGTGTGTGTGTGCTCTCAGTGTGTGTGTGACTGGTGGCGGCGCGTTCTGTGACCAGCGTCGATAGCCCAGCCCATCGCATCTGCCGCCAGGACGAGAGTTCGGTGCAGCAGCTGATCGACACCTGCATCCAGGACGACGACAAGCTTTACCTGTGCGTCTCGTCGCCGACCATCAAGGACAAGCCGGTGCAGATTCGGCCGTGGAAGCTCTCCGACGCCGACTTCGTGCTGGACGCGTCGCTGCCGCTCGACCCGCGCAAGACCGTGTTCGTCGGCGGCGTGCCGCGTCCGCTCAAGGCCGGTAGGTCAGCGCCTGTGCAGCCGGGCGGCCACCGCCGAGCTGGCGGCCGTGACCGGTCGCTGGCGACGCGGCTGTGTTGCGTAAGGACGCGTCCCGCGGTATTCCCCTCCCCCTCCCCCTTCGGCTCATTCCGGCCGCGGCCTGGATCGAATCGGCGCTACATACTGCGTCATGGAAGGGCGCATTAATGGCGATGCGGCCGAGGCTCCAGGACTGCGATGCCCGGCGTGGCGTCGCAGGCCAGCCGCTTCACCTCGCCGTCCGTTTTGCGGTCAGAGCCGGCGCGTCCCTGTTGGAGCCGGGTGACCGGGCTGCCGTGTCGACCAAGGCTGCCCTGGAGGCTCCAGGGCCTCCAGCTGTTCAGATGGCTGATGGGCTGGTCGGTGCGGGGCACCGATGGGACGTGTGTTCGGGCCGGCGCCGTCTCTACCGCTGTCCGCCCGCGACGACCTGGTGCTGGAGGCTCTCCCGCGGGGTCGCTCGCCTGCTGGGACGTTGTGAGTTAAAGTTGCAGGGTGCCGTCGGGGTCGATCGGAAACTTCTGCAGCAGTTTGTTGGTGTTTCGGCGCAGTCTGGTCTGTATTCTAACCAGGGGGCTGCCTCCAGCGTTGCTAGCGTGTCCGTGGGACGGTGTGCAGCCGGAGCTGTCCGCCCAGGCCGCCTTCCGCGTGCCGGCGCCGCCCCCGGCGGTCGTCACCGCCCCCAGGGCCGACGGCCGGTAGCTGCTCGGCCACCGGCAGAGCTGCGCGCGCCGCGGCGAGGTCGAACTCACGCAGCGTCACTCGGACCTCAAAGGCCCGGCGCCCGACAGCAGGCTGTAGAATGGACGCGCGTTGGTGGGCGCCGGCGCCTGCGGTGTGGAGACGCCTCCTTTGATGGAGCTTTCGGCGAAAAGCCTAGGCCTACTCTACTTCAAAGTATTCGCTGAAACCATCCCTTTTCTTGGCAGTTCTTCGTTCTCAGAGCCCACGAACCTCAAAAGGCCGATATTCAACCAGTTGACGTACTTGTGCGGGAGTTTCAAATTATTAGTGCGTTGGTGCGGATGTGCCTAACCGATAGGTCATAAGTTAATGGCTGGCAAGTTGTGGGGGTGCCATTTCGATGAAAAGCTCGACTGAATGGCCAAACCCATTTGCTATTGTCATTGTACCTGAATTCAATCGGTGACGTCAGCTTTTGGGTCCAAATAGACCCCTGCAGTCGAGTTCGTCGTGGGACGGAACTCGTATTGAGCAACTTCAAATGGTTCCACCTGCGACTCGGTGATGCGGTTCGGCGGGGTTTGCGGCGTCTGGCGCGGCGTATTCCCGTGCGTCCGGCCGCCTCGCGGCAGGTTTGGGTGAGATGGTCACCGCCGGCTTCGACCGGCGCTTGCCGTTCGCTCGTCCGGGGTGGCTTCCCTCGGGTGAGGCGCGGGCGCAAACGGGACCGGGAGACGCCGCCGCGTCCGAGCCCGCCCCGGCACGTCGCCGCTCCAGACCTGGAATCGATGTCGCCGGCGAGATCGACCGAGTCGCGGGCCGCCCGGCCGCTGGGTCCGCCGTTGCGCCCCTCAGCGGGTGGCGCCGGTCGCCCCCTGTCTGGCCGGCACATCGATCTACCGTCAGTCCCGGCGGCCCGGCACCTGTCCCGGCGCACGAGCCGGCCGACCTCGACCGGGGCCGCCAGAGCGCCCCGACTGCCCTCTGCTGCCGGAGGGGTGGGGGCTCCGTCCGGCCCGCCTGGTCAGATGGGCCGGGCGTTCTCCGGCGCGTTCTCCGCGCAGCGAGCTGCCCGTGGTGTCGGGCCGGCCGGACGCCCCGCGGCTGTCGCGCGCCGCTGGCCCGCAGTAGGCAGGCTGCCGTCGTGCTCCTGGCCGTCCGCACAGGTCCGCGCTCGACTGGCGTCTGCTCGACGGCATCCGTACCCGGAAACGCTTGTGTTGGCGCCCTCGAATGGACGTGGCGGTACGTCGCAGACCGAGTCCCGGGAAGCCTGCCACTGCGGGTTAAAACCTTTTGCCACGCCTGGGCGCAAGCGCAGTAAGTGTGCTGCATTTCTCCGAATTGATCAATGTTCATGTCAAACATCAGGCAAATCTGCCGGGAAGGATTGCACCGTTCAGAATTGCATGGTGGTTGGAGTGGTGCTCATGGGTCTGCTGAAACGTTAGGCATTAGGGTTAATGTTGTGGAACGCGGGCCGACTCCGTTCCAAAGATTTATCTCGCTAAGGCGAGTTTGTGCGGTGGCGTAGGAAGAAACGGGATCGTATTCTCCGCCTCGGCGTCTTACTGCAAATGCGCAGTCCATGCGTCGGGCTCCAGCCCTTGCTCATCATCCGCTAAGTCTTGGAATCAATTTTGACGGTGGCCTGAACTTTCGCTAAAGCCATCATTGAACTGACCTGACCGGCAGCCGAGCTTGCCACGACCAACGACCATTTGAACGTGGGTGTGTGGTGACCTGGCCTGGCCTGGCCTGACCTGACCTGACCTGACCGGACCTGACGTGACCTGACCTGCATTTGGGTTGCTCATGATCATGGACCGCCTGTTCAGGGTCGTCGGTGGCGACCTGACCTAACTTTACCGGTATTTTAGCTGGCCGCGATCGTGAACTGCCGTTACGTGGACGCCTGTGACGCCCTGACCTGAGCTGACCTGATCTGACCTGGCCGGCAGTTGAACTGGCCATGATCATGGACCGCCTGTACGGTGGCGTCTGCTACGCCGGGATCGACACGGACCCGGAGCTGAAGTATCCGAAGGGCGCCGGCCGAGTGGCCTTCAGCAACCAGCAGAGCTACATCGCGGCCATCAGCGCCCGCTTCGTGCAGCTGCAGCACGGCGACATCGACAAGCGGGTGCGTGACGCGTCGGCCGCCGAGCCCCGGCTGCGACGGCCGGCCGGCCGAGCTCCGACTCTGCCGCCCGGTCACCGCCGGGACGTGCAGGTCGCGCCTTTTTGCCGTGACAGCTGGGCTGTAATGAAGCGCATCTGCGCTCCGGCCCCGCCGGCGCTATTAGGAGGCCGTTTTTATCCGGGCCGCGGCACGCCGATCGATGTGCGTCGTGTTCTGCGGCCGGATGTCGCCCGGGCGCTGCCGCCGGGTTTGGCTCGACCGACCCGGCGGCAGCGCCCGGGTCGCGGGTCAGCTCTGGAGCGATCGCCGGACTCCTCGCAGCTGTGCTCGGGTCATGTGACGACGGGCTGTGCTGTGTAGCCGTCCGGGGCTATGCCTTTTCAGCGTTACTAATCACACGGTTGGTGCGAGTGGTGGTGTTGACGGTGAGCGGCCCGTCGTCTGGGCGCCTCTGCCGTGTCCGTGGCGGGCTCCAGTCAGCCGGGGCGGTAATCCGTTTGGTGCTGACGCCGCTCTGCCACCGCGCAGGTGGAGGTGAAGCCGTACGTGCTGGATGACCAGATGTGCGACGAGTGCCAGGGCACGCGCTGCAGCGGCAAGTTCGCCCCCTTTTTCTGCGCCAACGTCACCTGTCTGCAGGTGAGCGACGGGCCACGCTCGGACTGTGCATTACTGAGGCGTCGTCAGGCAGTGCCGGCTCCGTCCGGGGTCCGTGGGGCTCTCTTACTGCCGGTCTGTGGAGGCGGGCAGACGCCCACGGCTGGCCGCTCGCTGCAGCACCAGCTCGTCCCCAGTGGCGCGCTCGTGCTCAGCTCCGAGGAGTCGCCGTATGTTCGGTGTGTGCTGCGCGTTGGCCTCTGCGGGTGACTGCGCCGTTCACGGCGGACAGATGCCGGACGCCTGGGTGTGGCGCTGGCCGCTTGCCTGTCTATCGGTGCCCTCACGTTCGCGCCACCTGTGTCGCCTCGCTCGTGCTCAGCCGTGTCTGGCATGTCGCGCCGCCCCGTCTGACCCGACCGCCGCGCGTTGCAGTACTACTGCGAGCACTGCTGGGCCACCATCCACTCGCGGCCGGGCCGCGAGTTCCACAAGCCGCTGGTGAAGGAGGGCGCCGACCGGCCGCGCGCCGTGCCGTACCGCTGGTGCTAGGCGGCCGGCTGGCGCCGCACCCAGGACACGCCTAGTCAGCTCCGCTCCTGCGCTCCCCGGCCGCAGCGCGGCGCTCCCTCTCGCCGGCGCGCTCCCGGCTAGTTAATGTCCCGCTAGATGTGGATTTTCCAGGTGTGGTAGTGCCATAGACTAGGCATGCGCTGATGGGGCAGGACAGAGCCTGCCGAGGGAGAGGGTGCCGGGGCGGCGGCGGGCAGGCTGGCGGCGGTCGACATTTTATATACATATCTGTATAAACTATTACCGTAGCTGATAGCCACCTCGTAATTCGCCGAGCCTCTCTTGTATTCCAGCTGAGAGTCGTTTGGATACATTTTTTACTTTTTCACATTTTTGTATCGTTGGCGTTTGCAATTGTAAATAGATTTATGTACAAACGGCAGATATTTATATAACAGTACGTGGACTGGAAATCACATAGTTCCTCTTTATTTTTGGGGTTACATTTTTGTACATATAGTAATACCTCTTTGTAATCCAGTGGAGCGCCCCGCCGCTGTCGCCTCAGTCTCATGTGATCCCTGTTAACCGGCGCCGCCAGCCTGTGTGTTTCTCTATGTGGAGGGTGTTTTTAACACAGCCGACCGGCCGGCCCGCCGCCGCCCCAAGCGGTGGGGCTCGCGGGGGTCCGGCCTTCCGGCCGCACGCCGCGAGCCCTCCCGCACGTTTTCTATGTATCCTCGACACTTGAGTCATTTCGGGGACTTTGACCCCGTTCGCTCCACTATGGGCATATATATAATACGAAATACATGTGATAGTTGTATTTATCCCCCGATTGTGATTTAAGCTAATTTATGCAATTAATTTTCTAGTTCATACATTTATGATTTCAGAATGTTATCACTTATTTAGCTGGCGACGAATTATAGCTTAGACTTATCCAGCGTTTTACGTGTTTAGATAACACTTCATTAATTCATGTTAGCGTGGATATCTATGACTGTTCGGGTGATGACGCCGTTGATAAATTCGGGTGCGCGCGCGCGCCGCGTCGGTCCGGAGCTTTAGAGCAGCACGCTTATCTTGACCCGTGTGTTGTCCGGTGTTTGTGATAGTAGGCCGGGCCGGGTCGGCCTGCGGTCGCCCGCCCACTGAGCACTCGCGAGCCCTCCCTCCGAGCCACAGCCACCAGATGCGGGTCACCATGTCAAAGTGCGGCACGGCGGCGTCGCCGCGCGGTTCGGAATCAAAAGCGGTGTCAGGAATGGCCAGCGCGCGCGGGGCGGCAGCTGCGCCTGCGCCCCGCCGGCCGGCGCGGATCGCACGCTGGGCGTGGGCGTGTATCTTTCACGGTGTCGTACGGCAGGGGGTCCAGCTCCATAAGGATAGCAGCCTAACCCGAGCATAATCCGCTGGCGCCCGGCCGATTCCCCGTCCTCAGCCGCCGTGGCGCGGCCGTCCCGCCCCCTTCCAGGCCGCGCGTGGCCCGCCGTCCAGACGACTGCGGTGCCGACTGATGGAGGCGTCGCCGCGGGCTCCCTCGCGTCTCCCGCCAGCTTGAGCCGCCTCCGGGCCTCGCTGCTTTCGACCGCCGGCCCTAGCCCCTCCCACCCCACCCCTCCCGATCGAGGACGGCTACCAGTGTCCTGGCTCCCCCGGTGTGGTTTAACGGGTCCTGGCTTGCAACTTACCCATAGTTGAGCCTGAAATGATGGTAGTCGTCCGGCGGCAGCGGCGCCCCCCTGGCGGCCGCCGCGCGCGCTGCCCGTCGGCCCGGTTAGCGCAGTGCGGTCCGCCGCCGGACATAGCGTAGTGTGTCTGTCTCATTCGGTTCAGTTCGCTGCGGTTGCGCCAATCGATTGCAACTTGTGTGGTGTACAAACATGTTCTGAATGGTTTTGTACAAAAATTAAAGTCATTCATTTATTTTCCTAGTCCATGTTTACCACTAGCTGAACGGTTTTATATTATAATTTAGAAAATCGGATGTGATTTTATAATGCCTGATCATTATTGGCGGCGCTGAGCCTGGTTTGACGTAGCGACTACGCTTCAGAATGGTTTGCATTTCGCTAGAAGTTACAGTTGTCCGCGAGTGCGTTGCGGTCGGCGGCGCTGGCGGCGGCGCACGCGGGCCCGCGCCTGGTACCGCTCGCGGTGGCGGCCGGCCACCCCGCGCCGCCGCCAGCGCGCCCCGCTTTGGCAGTACCTGGGTGTTGAGTTACTTCCCGCGCCGCCCTGCGGGGGGGCGAGGGGTGTCCGCCGGCGGCCGCGCGCCCCCGCAGGGCTCCCACTCTGCGTTTTCAGTCACCTAGATGGTAAGTCGTTTTGTATAGCATTTTCTAATTTTGTACCGGCGTGCGGCCGCCGGCGGCTCGTGACCTCGCGGTCCCGGGCGGCCGGTGGCTTTCATTTAACCCATTTGGGGGAGTTTTTACGGTTATTTTGTTGTGTCAGACGTTTTTATGTTTTATAAATAATTACAGAAAATCCATAAATAGTGTTGTGTTTTATTTGTACTGCAGTTTTCTACAGAAGCTTGCCATAGTTGACCCTGGTCGGGTGCTGATTGACCAGGCGGCGTCCGGCGCCCAGCCACGTCTGTCCGAACCGTTTATGATCCACTCTGTATTAACTTATTGTAGCTATTTAAATAAACTGCGATTCAGCTCTCGCGTCTGTCTGGGCGCACGTGCCGTCAGGGAGTCCTCTGCTGGCGCCAGAACCCATCGCGGCGGGCGTGATAGCGTGTCGTTTGGAGCTGAAGGCGCCGAAACAAAACGCGGTCGTCACAGTAGAAACATCGACCGGCAGAACCGGAGTTGAATGCGAGCGTCCTGGAAGCGTAGCGTCTTCAAGTGGCGCGTTACACGAGTCGTCGCGTTCTGTCACGCGCTCAGAAGGCGGGCCGCTTATGACGCTCCAAGAGATCCGGCTTGTTTGTGTGAACATGTATTGGCTGACGTATGTCTGGGAACGACACAGCTAACCCGCCCGCAACCTTTGTTAGAGATTACACAGACGACACCCGGCGACTCTCCGCAGGAGTGTCTGCCTCGCACTGGGCATACGTGGGTGAGTACCGAACACTGCCGTGATTGAATCTACCGAACACTGCCGTGAGTGGGCACGTGCGAGATAATGGCACTGAAGTCTTGGCGCGCCTGGCTGCGTTCGCGGCCGCCGTCACGCGCCGCTCGCAGGCGCCCGCCGGCCCCGCTCCGTCCATCCTCGCGCCGCTCACAGATTCCCGCGCCGTGCCTGGTCGATCTCGATCGCCGTGAACAGCGCCTTGAAGTTTCCGGCTCCGAAGCCCTGGGGTCATAGCAAAGCAGAGCATCATTGGGCCGCGCAGTGCGTCGCCGGCCACGGCCGCAGACCGAAACGGAGGCCGTCGGCGACTCAGGGAACCGTGCACAGACGAGTTTGGCTGAAGCGGTGTTGGCCGGCCAGCGCGGGTCTCACGGGACATCTCGCCGGCTGGTCGCCTGGGGTTGCGCGGGGTCAAGCTGGTGCAGAGCGTAAGTGGAGAGGGGGCAGGGAGTCAAAACTTCGTGCCAAGGGATTCGAAAATAAACGACTGCAACGTAGCACACGTGGCATGGTTGCACGGACGATGACGTCGACAAATAACACTCGCCTGGTGAAAACGGGCCTCAAGGTATAAGTAGATGGCATTATTGTTGACATGTTTTTACAGTCGTTACAGTTATTACAGTTTTACGTTTAAAACGATGCCCTTGTGTTTTTGCATGTTCAAGGTGTCGTGTCTTTGGTATGCGGTATCCTTTCAACTCAACGTAACAGTCTTAACTCCAGGATCTACAATACACACCAGCGGCGTTGGAAATCGGGGTGTGTACGACCTATAGCATCAGCGCGTCCGCTCGCGACCTCGGGAGCCCTGCGGGGCCAGGGCGCAGACCGTTTTCTCACCTGGTGGTTGTGCCGCTGAATGGTTTCCATGAACAGCGTTGGCCGGTCCTGCATGATTTTGGTGAATATCTGCAGGAGGTATCCATTATCGTCGTAGTCGATTAGGATGTTCAGCTCCTGTAGAATGGTGAAAGTATACTGTTTAAGTTTTCCCGTACAAAACTGCGTGCATGGTGTCTCGCATCACATGCATCACGTACATTTGTATCATAACTTTGCCCTTGGCCTCACGCCCAAATATCGTGAAAATCCCTGTAAAAACGAAATTATTTTCCGGCCCGGCCATTGACTTATCACGTAGCACCGGGATATATGCCCGGTGTAGTACATATATTGGACACTTCAATGTAGGTGAATGTGCGCAAAACTGACGCCCAATGCGACAGGTGAGACGGGCTGTACGGAGCTGCCTCAGTGACACGCTACCCAACCCATCCATTAATTTGTCGATACCTGGGATCGTTGTCTGCAGGATAACCAATGATTGCACTTCCTGGTGACATGCGACGAAAAATTTACAAACTCGCCAGCTTTTAACAGCCAACACGCGATGCAAATGTTCACACCAGGCTGATTTTCATCTGCTGGGTGGTTCGGTCGACGTCACGTGACCATCTTCAGATGTGCGACCGAGGGCGCGGGAACACCACAGCAAATCATCGCGTATATCACCCGTCTTCCCAGCGGCGGGCGCATGACGCTCCGCCGCACCATCCCGGGTTGTGTGGCATTACACGGCAGCTGGTGCCCATTCCCCATACGTAGAGCACCAGCTGCGCCGGTGCACACCGTCACCGACAACGAAAACGCAGCACCACCCGCTACCACGCACCACTGAACATCCGTCCGCATGGTTAAGCCAAGCAGCACGGTCGTGAGAGCTGTGTGGGTTGATGAGCCAACTCGCAGGCGGGGATTAAGTTTTTCAGGGTTTCACCCCGCTTGTGCCAAAATTTCACCCCCGACCACATGTACATGGGTCACGGACACGTTTAGGTAGTTTTTGCCACCTGTAATTACTACCGGCCTCTCCAGCACTTTATTCTTTCACTCAAACCATATGAACACTCGCGCGCTCCGTGCCTCAGCCCCAGCAGCCGGTGAGCGCCTGCTGAAGACGTGAAATTTATTACAGGGTGAGCCTATGACGGCGTTCGACAACGTCATTAAATGGGCTATTGCTACGAGCCTTTGAGCCGCACGTTACGGACATGAGGCAAGGTAGGCTTCCGCTAGGCGACGCTGGGACCTTTGACTGAAATCATGCGTACAGAAGTCTCGCAATGTGCGATATCCCACTGGACGAATGTCATCCGCCCCGTTCAGACGGACTTGAGTCTGAGCAACCCCCTCCCACCTGAAGCCTGTAACCAACAACCTGCCAGCCATGTTAAAGGTGGAGTCCACGTTGGAGGGTACGCTCCACCCACCTACGAAGAGTCCGGGTCGCATTTACCTGCAGGACATCCAGGTCCTCCTCCACCTTGACCTTGGAATGCTTGAGCTGCTCGCGAAGCTGTTCATAGTAGGTGTCGGGGATGGTGAGGAACTCCAGGCCGCGGGCTTTCATGCTGCGTATCTGCCGGTCATTATCGGCGGCCGCGTCACGGCCGTGCCCCACGCCCAGCGTATCCTCTCAAATCACCGCTGCCATGTTCACCAACAGCAAGTGGTGCTGGCGCAGCTGGCTACCGCACGCCAGTGTGGTCCCACGCCCGCCGATGTGCTATCTCCACACTGACGGCGTCCAAGCCCTCCCTCGTTCGTATCCGTTCCGATCCCTGATGACCCGCGCTATGTCCCCTGATGGTATATGACAGATCCCCGTTGATGGCCGTTCCGAACCCCGATGACCTTCGCTATGTCCCCGATGGTGTCTGACGGCTCCCTGTTGGTGGCCGTTCCGACCCATGATAACGCCCAGTCCTTCCCCTCGTGGCGTCAGACCCCGCCCGTGCTCCTGCTCGTGTGCGTTCCGCGTCCGTCCGGAGACACCCGGACCCGACCGCGCCGGCCGCCAGGCGGCGCCACTTACTGCGCTGATGATGTCGCTAGTGTTGAGCGCGATGTGCTGTACGCCAGCGCCGCCGTAGAAGTCGACGTACTCCTGGATCTGGGACTTCCTCTTGCCCGGCGCCGGCTCGTTGATGGGCATCTGACGTCCAGCAGCGGGTGAATACACGGGCCCTCCGCCAGCCGGCCAGGGACAGATGAATACACAGGCACCCCGTCAGGTGGCCAGGAGCGGGTGAATACACGGACACCCCGCCAACCGCCAGGGGCAGATGAATACACGGACACCCCGCCAGCCGGCCAGGGGCAGATGAATACACGGACACCCCGCCAGCCGGCCAGGAGCGGGTGAATACACGGACACCCCGCCAACCGCCAGGAGCAGATGAATACACGGACACCCCGCCAGCCGGCCAGGGACAAATGAATACACGGACACCCCGTCAGGCGGCCAGGAGCGGGTGAATACACGGACGCCCCGCCAGCCGGCCAGGGATAGATGAATACACGGACACCCCGGCAGCCGGCCAGGAGCGGGTGAATACACGGACACCCCGCCAGCCGGCCAGGGATAGATGAATACACGGACACCCCGCCAGCCGGCCAGGGATAGGTGGACACGCTCAGCCGCGGAATAAGTGAAAGATCAGTGCACGGACACTAGGATGGTCACGAACGGGCAAAAACACGGCACTGTTACGCGGGAAGGGCCCGGTGAGGGCACGCTCGTGACGTGTCCCCTAGAAATAAGCGTGAAGCAATCTAGAGAGACAGCTGGGACAACTACCTAAACTTTTCTCTTGCGGATGCGTAGGGAACGTTTCGTCTTGCAAGTGACCAGGGAGAAAGGCCGGTGAGCGTCCCAAATTTTCTATATTTGCCACTGACATGTTAAAATCGTGCGCCTACGGTTAGCTTGACAGCTGCACAATCTTCCCACTCTGTCTCGATTATTTTACGTGAACCCATGGCTGAACAAGTCAGTTCAACATTGCGTTAACATTGGGCCATTTTGAATCAGCCATCGAGTAACTCGTGCCACTCTAGGCGTCGCCATATTCAAGAAGACGGACGATGGCTTGCTAGGTCATATTCAGTTCCATTTCTACCATAAAACTGATCGAAGTAACTCAGGTTGGGACATTGAACTCGACAACTATGGACAGTGTCGGGCTCACATTCGGCAAGCCTATAACCGATGGTCCCAGCCTCGCCTGCCGCAACCTGCGACAAACATGCCCTCAACACATCACGCTGCACACAATACCGTCTTGCTGCCACGTGCTCAGCGGCCGCCCGCGAACAGCCGGTCGTGGGCCCCTTGCCGACCGTGTGCCCCCTGTCAGTCGTGTGCCCCTTGCCGGCCGTGTGCCCTTCGCCGGCCGTGTGCCCCTCGCCGGCCGTGTGCCCGCTGTCGGCCGTGTGCCCGCTGTCGGCCGTGTGCCCGCTGTCGACTGTGTGTCCCTGCCGGCCGTATGCGTTCTGCCGGCCGTGTGCCCCTTGCCGGCCGTGTACCCTTCGCCGGCCGTGTGCCCCTCGCCGGCCGTGCGCCCCTCGCCGGCCGTGTGCCCGCTGTTGGCCGTGTGCCCCTGCCGGCCGTGTGTCTCTCGTCGGCCGTATGCCTCTCGCCTGCTGTGTGCCCGCTGCCGGCCGTGAGCGCACCGTCGGCCATGAGCGCCTTGCCGGCCGTGCGCCCGCTGCCGGCCGTGAGCGCCCCACCGGCCGTGTGCCCACCTTGATTGTCTCGTCCCAGTTGGTGACGACCACCGAGCGCAGTGCCGAGAAATCCGTGTGCAGCTGCTTGTCGTCGATGGACCAGAAGCGGTGAAATGTGAGCGAGCGCTCGTACCAGTTGGCCACGTTGTCCATCTGCAGGTCGGGCTGGTTGCCGACCACGTGGTCGATGAAGCGCAAGCCGACGGTGGGCAGCGTAGCCAGCAGTCGGCTCGCGGCGACTACCGGCTTGTGGTAACCGGGCAGGAACAGGCCGCTGTACGTGCCGCGCTCCACCAGCGTGTGCGTTGTGTCACCGTACTGTGGGCCATGCGGTGTCATTGTCATGTGATACTGTAAGCAGAGGTTTTTGAGCACCGGGGCCGGGGAGGGTTCACGCTCCCAGATTTCTGAACATCAGCGCCGATTTATGGGTGTCACGCATAACGGAATACCTTTAAGCCCTATTATGCCGTTTTGCTCAGCCTCCCCTTCCTCACGCAGGATGTCGGAAACGCTCTCCCAGCTGTTCGTGCTGCGTTCCGGCAGTGCTGACGGCACGTCGTGTGGCCGACATGGCCGCGGCATGGGCAGGACCGCCACCAGCACGGCGTCACCGCACAGGCCGTTCTCCACAATCCGTTGATTATTCGTCGCCGGGCACGTGGGTAAATGCCGTGGCTGTTAAGGTTAACTATGCGTTAGTTGCCAAGAAAGGTCAGTTTGCGAGCGAGAGAATCAGATATGTTCAGCTGTACAGCTGTTCAGCTTTGCTGCTCAGCGTAAAGGTCCCGGTACCGGCGTGGAAGGTAGTTTGCAAGCTGTACATACCGTTTGCACGACGGCGAATCGAACTGTGCCACCCTCGTCGCTCTCCTCCCAGATATCTTTCACGATTGTTGCGCCTCTCTTCTTCGCATGCTGTAAGCACGATGGGGTCTTTAAAACGCTTAAAAATATCACTTCTCGTCAGCAGAAGCCCTACCGCCGCGACGCTCACCAAAACAAGGCACCGCAGCGTCGGTAAAATACCGGGAGTAAGGAGGTTCAAAATTATTTTGGTCGTAGAAACAGCACGATGAAAATATGTCGTTTATGTTGCTTTAGCAATATCGTACTGAGACATGCTTTACATGACAACGTACTAAAGCTTGATCCCCTCTGCGGCGCCTGCTCGACGCTCGCTGCTCCTTGACGCCACCGTGAGCCTCAGCCTCATCCCGCGTGCGGCCGCGCTTACCAGGACTATGGTGTCCAGGTCCTCGACGGTGAAGGCCACGTCCTTGACGCCGTCGCCATGCTGGGTCATGTGCTCGCCCATCTCGGTGTTGCCCGGCCGCAGTGGCGACTTGAACACCAAGCGGATGTCGTTCTGGCCGATGCAGTGAGAGACGACATCGCAGCTGCCCGTCTCCAGGCCGGAGTACGAGTGCGGCGTGAAGCCCATGTGGGTGCAGTAGTAGGAAGCCGCCTGCGGGCGCGACAGACAGCTTGGCACCAACGCCACCATGCAGCGTGTGTGGTCAAGGTATGCTGCACGCCACGGGCCGAACGCGAGTGAAGGCAATGAAACACATGCACGTTGTTGGCTGACTTCCATTCCTTCTGGCTACGAAAAATGTCCTGAGTGCGACCGCGCAGGCAGCCGTGGATATTCGCGGTCGCCTCGCGCCCATGAGGCCATTTGACACAGTAAAGTCGCAACTATGCGCGTGTCGGTAGGATAAGCAGTTGGAGCCGGATGCGCCTGACACCCATATTAAAAGAGTATGCCACCTCTTCGCACTTTTCACGTATTGTTAGATCAGAGGCGTGCAAGCTGATCAGCAATGCCAGTTTCTCGGAACCCTTCTGAATAGCTTAGATTTTTATTTGAAGTAGCCGCCCATGGGCAAAAACATCGCTGGACTCCATGCTCACCACTTGGAAAGTGTTGCACTTCATTTGCCTTGATTTTTCCAACGTGCGTGTTCTGTTATGTTTGCAACGAACTGTGTCAAAATGTTTGTGTAGTAAATGCCACCAAAGCTTGAAGCATTCTGTTTAGACAAAGAGATATGCAAACATGAAGCTATTATCCCACGAATTTAACGAAACGTTGCATACGCTATGAACTGTGGCTTGTACTAAGGCTTTGATTTCTGCCCTATGGCGCTTATCACAGTGGCTTTCTTCTAGGTGCACTTTGGCTTTGGGAGTGGGAGTATCACATGTCCCATAGCGACGCACACAGCAGTTAATGCGCTTTTCGGTAACAGACTCTTTCCGCCCGCCGAGCCAACCACAAACTCTCTTTATTCACACCAGTAGAGGTGCCACGGCGACTGTCATGACGACGGTTGCTGCGGCAACCGCGGAGAAGAAGCGTAGTGCTGTGATAAGGCGTTGGCGGCGTAGTTTGAACAAGAAAATAATTAAAACTGATATCCCTATTATGTTTTAATGGTGCTGCAGTGGCACTATCCAGTGCTATTGTTATGCGTAACTAGTCCTGAGGTTTCACTACAGCATGTTTTTTTTTAAATTTATCCCTAAGGTATGATAGTCTCGTTAAAGGCTATTGTTTACGACTAGGCTCTTTTCAATTGCTCTGATTTTTTAAGACGTCCGCCTTTTCACAGAACTACTGAAATCGGTCCCGGTGGAAAATAACCTATATGTATTGAAAGCTGTAACTTCTTCCGGTATGTGTCTGGTGTCCTCCCTTTAGTTCTCCATTCGCTCTACCCACTGGTCTACCTGAAAGGCTATGGATTACACAGGTCTCTGTGGAAGGCCAGTCCCGACAGTGGTTCCCGCGCCTACAACGGTGATTTAGACGATGTTGTTGCGGCGCCGGAGCCGAATGCAAATATGCGAATGAATGACGATGTTTTCTCGGTTCTGCAATAAATACGCTTTGCGCTAATTAGTTCCAGAAAGCAGAAATGTTTTTAAATGTGTGCATGGTGCATGCAGAAATTGGCGTAACCTTATCGTTGAAGGCTTTTGACCAGACCTCCAATAATAACCGACAATGGTGTTCGCTCGAGTGTGCGTGGCCTGCCGTGCATGGTGATGTGCCATTGCGTCAGCGCGAGTGTCGGTCTTTTTCCCGGTCAGAATGTGTCGCCCTGGTGTTGATGCGGTCTTGGGCTGTTATAACGGCCCAAGTTGGACTTACGCTGCGCAGCATTTTGCCATTAGAAATGTTTTAATTATCTGTAACAGGTCGTGTTAAATGTGGGCAGGTTTACGCTGTTCACACAAATGGAGCCTAGGAAAAGACGTTCAAAGAGATGCTATGGAATTCCCCGTGGTGCAGTTGTTAAGTGTCGCAGTTGCTCAGAGCTGCATGCTGATAATCGGGTGGTGGGGATCGTCCCGATAGCCCAGTTGGTTGGAGCGTCTGCCAGCCTTTCTACCGATCCGTCCCACCCGTGGCGTGGTGGGCTCGAGTCTCTATGAGGCGCTCGCTGTTTGCTCCTGACTGAAATGGGGCGGATGGGAAGACATTGGGGCTGTTAGGGCGCTCCCTGACTGCAGTGGCCCTGCTGTTGGTGGCAGCGGCCGCGCTGAACTTGAGGTGACATCAGAGGGCAGGACGGACCGTTCCGAGCCTTGCGACGCGTTACACTTCGGCCGTGAAATTCTCTCGTTGACCTAGGATTTTCGCGATCGGATGGGAAGAGTCGGGGCGCACGCAACAAGTAGCGGTTAGTGTGAGCTCTGATCTAGACATATATCCATCGAGGGATTCTGATTCAATCTCTATGAAAGCATAAAAAGTGATTGCAAAGGTAGGTTTATAGTGATTGGACAGGCCAAGCTGAGTAAACGAGCCCGTGGTTGGGTCGTTGAGGCTAAAAAGGTTTGCAGCAAATGCTCTGTCTATTGCCTCGCCGTTATTAACCGCCCGGCATATTAAGTCTAGTCACGCCTCCTCATCTGCTTAGTCTGGCAGAAATACTACAGAGCCCCGTAGGGCTAGCATTGGCGATGGTCGGCTCCGCGCCATTTGAAGCGCAGGGCAGTGGAGAATATCGGCTGCCACGTGCTAATCGATTACATATGTGCCAGCTGTGAGGAGACGGATAGAGTGAGTACCAGAATATAACGGCTAGTAGAACACACGAACACAAACTAAGTGATGATCTCAAAAGGTGGGTCCTTTGTTCCTGTTGGTGTTATGACCAGCAAGATGTCAATAACAAGTCACGACAGAGCATCGGCAAGTATCTCACCATCAACGTGTGCGCACTTAAACGGCGACTAAGCAGCAGGACAGTCCTGCCAACCAACTGCCTAGAGCCAGCAACGGCCAGGTCCGGAGCCAGGACAGCCAAATCAAGCCTGCCTGCCGCGAAAGCGTATAATTTTTCGACAGCCTCCTGACCAAGGTCTTCCCGGCCCGGAAGAATGAAGCTAAGACCCAGCCTGGCTCAGCGAACAGGCGATCCTTGCGCTGAGAAACTTCCTTGCTGAGGATATGAGCTCCAGGGTTCTGAAGAAGCAGCGGCGGGGAGAAACAAGGACATGCAGATCGGTAGGGCACTGCACCACACCTGGCAGAGACCGGAACTACCAACCGGAGCTTCTCAGTAGCCTGGAGCCATCTGGACTGAAGCCACATAGCTTGGTGTTCAAACAAGACATGGGCACCATGCTCCTACGAAACCTGGAAAGCTCAATTTCTGCAATGACAACTACTTTGGCAGGCAAGGCGAAAGGAGCGAACGTCTTCATTCCAAGGATCCCGCTGATCCCATGTGGCATTTTCATCAGAGATCTTGCATAAATTGACCAACTGGCCATGACGTACTGGAGCTGCTTGTATCACAAGTTGCTCATGTCTTGTAACATCGTATGCGTGTCGCTGGCGTTGCGTCTCATTTGCATGTGTTGCGTGTTCTGTTTTGATCTATGTGGTATTTACTGGCGCGGCGTAAGAATAGCCACTCGCTGGCTTTCGCCAAGGTTTGCAATAATAATTATGACAATAATACGATGCCTTTCGAGCTCAAACGGGTTCAGTCTTCTGTTAAAGGAGTTTTCCACATTTATATAGGGTTTTGAACTGAAATAGCCATCTTGAAAATCAATCGGTGCAGTTCACAGGCCTGTACGTCTTAGGACCTAACACCTAGGACCAAGACCTTTCGGTGGCGTTCACAACCCTGCCCTTCTTAAGATCTAAGCCCCTCTAGTTTCTGAGCTACACGCCCACTAAAATGGGGAAAGATATAATGGGGAGAGCATTTCGAAGTCGCCTTGGCATTCATGGCGTCATAGTAACGTCATTCAAATCCTGCTATTCCATAAGCCATGCGGCGGTCAAGGCCAAGCAAAACATAATTATCGAGGCGTTCATATCCGACATTCGTGAGCGCGATCTCCAGATATTTCAGCCGCCCACTGGCTCTGAATCAATGTTGTGGAAGGTATGAGGACGTACTCAAACCGTGACGCATTGAGGAGCATATTTACTGGACAGAGAATTGTGCTGTCCAGAGCAGTCTTTTCCACTTAACAAGCATACCAATAGTTAAAGGTAAGCTTGTTTCATCATATCTGATGCTTGCTTCAATATGTTCAAATGTAAAGCACGTCCAAGGCACACATTCGAGAGGCACAACATGACTATCAGCAAGCGCCAAGAAAAGTCCCTAAAAGCAGTGGGTCTCAACCTGACGAAGTAAGTGTTCTGCTGGGGTCAGCTTTACTTTGACAGCTCCAGACCGGGCACCTGTTCTGTCCATCCTGTCCTAGGAGGGCGATGCCAAGAATGTGGTCCACCAGGAAGCAGGGCGATCGTGAGATTCCTTGAAACAAAAATGCAGCGCCGCAGCAGGATCGCAACGTCCACCGGTGTCCACGGTCTGCGCCCGCCCGTCGCCATGCTGTATCGTAAACGGTCTCGGTTACTCGACGCTCGGCCCGACTGCTGTAGGGAGCGCCCGAGCCGGATAGCGGAGCGTAATGCTGTACCTCGGAGGAGCAAGTGACCCAATAGCTGGTCAAACTGATCAAATGACTGGTCAAACAACGATTCTTTAGGCCATTTGACTTCTCTCGTGGCAGCTACCACCCTTCGTGTGTAATCTGTGACTGGTGTGTAACCTGTGTAGATTATATGTTCCAATTATGTTATAATTTTATGTTACGATGTTATGCTATGTTATGCTACAGCTGTATGTCACGATTGCCCTTGGGTTTCTTGGAAATTGACGTCAGTTGGTGGGGTTTATCCGATATTGCATGATTTGATATACGATAATGCAATATTGTCATAATACTGCTCCAGCAAATCAGTTGTACCCGGTAGTTTGATTGGCGCGTGCCTCACTACAAAATACAAGCAAAATGTGAATACTTACGACACAAGACGGTTCAAGTTTCGATCACAAATCCAACTAGCACTATTTCAAAACGTTCCCTTGCAGTACACCACTCTTTATTACCCGGGCATCGTCGGGCGTCCCCGCTAGTCGGTAAACATGGGGGTCTCAGCGCACGAAACAATGCCTGGACCGTGAAAGGGATGCTTGATCTATCTTCACCGAACAGCTAATAGCTTCTCCCTTTGAAGGGAAGGGGGGGGGGGCGGCTTCGTCTACAAGCCGAGATGCGCATGCGCTGCCTGCAAGTACTGAGAACCTGTACTGCGCGGCGTACGTTGTAACACCGCGCTCTTGCTCCAGCACGGCCCTGTGCGCCGCTCCACAGGCGGCGGCCGATCGGGTGCTGATTGTGAGGCGCCCAGCGCCAGCGCCAGCGCCAGCGGCGGCGGCGGCGGCGGCGGCGGTGGACCGGTCCGACCAGTCGGCCGGCACGTGATCTGACTCGGGCCGGCCCAGCCGGGGGTGACCGGGGAGCGGCGGCGACCAGACCGGGCTGAGCAAGGCGGCCGGCTGCTGGTGGATGAGAGGTGATGGGGAACGGCCGGCACCGGTCCAGCTCCTCATATTGACGTGTCTGTACGGGGTACGGAGTCGCTGGTGTACCCAATGGAGATCGTTGGAGACTTGCACGGGTCAAGAGACGTACGTCAGCGACCGTGAGACAAAAACCACGGGACGTAGGACAGAAAACGTGACGTGAGCACACGCACAACTTACGAACGGGAGCGGCTAAAGTTTATGCCGAACAATTTGCGATGCGTGGGGGAAAAACTGCAAAAGCGTGTACATAACGAAGGGAAACCCAATTTCTTTCAGATGTTCAAGTGATTTGACATGCACTAAACCCATTGCCCTTCAAATATTTTTTAACATCCAAATACGACCAGGGCTGTGCCGACAGAGTCTCAACATTTGTCTCCGACGGAGTCCAGCAAATCATTTATGAACGCCTGTGGTGCGCCACATCAGGTTTGCGGGCGAGCTTATTACGGCCACGGCCGAAATCGCACGCAAATGTCTAACATGCCGCTGCATAATAGAAAATCATCCGGCGGTCACACCAACAGAACTCCGCAGCAAGACAAGCAAAAGCCTTGGAACGCTGCGCCGAGCACGGGGCTCACGTTTCCTCTGCTCCTTCCGCGTCGCCTACTCGGCAGCTTGCGTGCCCCTCCGCGCAGAGCGCAGCTGATGCTGCGCAGTGTGTCGCACGTGTCTGCGTCGTTGCCAGCCCTCCGGCGCGGCGGCGTGACGTCACACTGTGGCGCAGTACGCCGCGCCACCCAAACGGGGCCAATGACGTCGAGGCGACAGGCCGTCGGCGTCAGCAAGCGCTCACAGGGCGTGTGGATGTACGTTCCATGTGAGAGCCGATTTTCTGTGGCAAAGCTTGTTTGGGTGCAGATCGGCGCGAGCTCGGGGTTCCCAAGCAATCTCATCTAACACAGGCGTAGCCTCCCCGCTCCTCGCCCACAGTATCACGGAATGTGTCGCTGAAGAGGTTTGCCGTGATCTCGTACCATTGCCGCGCCCAGCCCACCAGACCGCGGCGCGCCCCTGCGCCGGCGTGTATTGCTGCGGAGATTTGCGCAACGTACGGCCAACAGCAGGCAGCGGGCAGACGGTGGTTGAGGACCGTGCTGAGGTGGACGTCCCGCTCGCGACCGGCGGTCACCCTGCTCTGAGACGCGGCTGGTCCGGCTCCGGCTGCCCGGCCCCGGGGTGGCACGAGGCAGGCCCACCTGGTGGTGGTGGTGATTTGGGCTTTGCGGCGCACCGACTTCGTTGGTCATATGGCGGGAGGCTCACCTGCTTGGCATTGCCCACCCAGAAGGTGATGTGGTCGAAGTGAACAAACTTGCCGCCGTCCGGTTTTGGACCTTTATCCGTGTATGTCGTCTGCAATGGAGAGATGCACGACGTCAGGATGGCGCGGTCCACCGCAATGACTCCTGCACCTGACGACAGGCCATCTTGGGCGGCTTACCTCGAACCGGGTCATGACGATCACCAACAGTAATATCAGTAACCGGCCTGTCCCTCGCGGAGGAGCGCAAGGGAAGTAGAGCAAACAATCCCGTACATACTTACACACGGATAGATGACGTTTGGGTTTCTCAGAAAGCAAGAGACCGTCGATGCAAGGAATTAATCCCGGCGATAAAGTTTATTTTGGCATAGGAGTTGCGTTCAAGAGGTGTTTAGATTGGTGCAGTAGTGGTGTTCAAAGTGGTGCGCCGGTGGTGTCTTGCATATCCAGGGTGGTGGTCACGCGGCACTCACGGGAAGTACGGGCCGCAGCTGGTTACTAACAACGGTTTGCAAAACTGACCGCCATGGTTAACGTTGTCTGCATTCAGGGGCGTTTGATGCATAAAATAGCCGACTGCCGTTTTTCAATGATTCAGGGTCTGGTTCGGGCATGTAAATTGTGACCTCGGAAATCAGCTTTAAGGCATGTTCAACAACACGGGTGATCGATTTCTTGCCTGGGTTTGTAAATGTACATACTCGTGCTTACCATGAAGCGCTTCAATGACAGCAATAATCCGTATCTGGAAGAGCGACCTCGTGTCTTACATGTTTGTTCATCTCGTTCAATTGTAATCGTCATACAGTTATGAAGCCGGCTCAGTACCTCGGTCGGGTGACGGAGGCGGCTCCGTACCTGCACAGGTTGGGCTGGCTCTGTACCATCGTCAGGTGACGTGGCTGGCTCTGTACCATCGTCAGGTGACGGAGCCGGCTCCGTACCTCCACAGATTGACGGAGCTGGCTCTGTACCATCGTCAGATGACGGAGCCGGCTCCGTACCTGCACAGGTTGGGCTGGCTCTGTACCATCGTCAGGTGACGGGGCTGGCTCTGTACCATCGTCAGATGACGGGGCCGGCTCCGTACCTGCACAGGTTGGGCTGGCTCTGTACCATCGTCAGGTGACGGGGCCGGTTCCGCGCCTCCGTTAGGTGTCGGGAGGGGGGGGGGGGAGCACTCCGCGCCTCCGTCCAGCTCGTGCCGTGTTCGGCTGATGCTATCTCCCGTCGCGCACCCAGGCCCGTGGTCGAGAGGGGGATGGCGGACCGATAACAGCCGAGGCGGAGGGCAACCGAGGCGGCTACTGCGCAGGCTGTTCTGCGCAGTGGGCGCCCCAGCAGAGCTAAGCTAATTTGACCACTCGGCCAGCCCACGACCCAATAGCAGTGCTGATATTTCGCGCTCCATGCTGCAGACACACCGAAACGCGAACGAGGGATAACGGAGGCGACCAAGGTAGAGAATGTCAGACTGAGCGACGGGCACTTACTTCAGCATAAACGACTCGCGTGCATGACTCGCTACCATGCGAGTTGTGAGGTAACGGCATGCACACACGCAACCGTGAGCCATGTGGCTGCACAGACTATGGCTCATTGGAGATGGTTTCTTTTCTGTGCCGTCCAAAACTGATGGTAGCTCGTGGTATATGTAGGGCGTTGCACGACAGGCTTTGTGAAGCCGAATCGATGTAAACCCATTTCCCCGATTTCAAACACACTTGAAATGCATGCTTGACTTGAGCAAGAAAGGGAAAAAGTGCAACAGCACTAGACACATTATCACAGATTGAGTTATATAGTGCATCGCGTTCATCAGTCGCGTCCGCGGTACATATTGCGAGCTGACGAGTGCGGACGAAATATGTTTGATGCAACCATTTTGTGCTCAACTAGCCATGACTATACATTCCTTTCATCGTCAGGTTGACATGCGGTCAACCGATTCTCCTCACTGGGCTGGCAAACGCGTAAATCAAGCCGTGGAAGGCGTTTGTGTGCGCTTCTAAGATGCCGCGTAAATGCGTCATCGTATGGTACGTTTCAGACCAAACAGCAAAGTACAATAGCTTACGACACAGCGACAGCTTACCCAATACAGCGCAGCCACAGCCCAATACGCCATTTAAGGGGTCAACCCAGCCTGTACAACAAAAGCCTTACCATGGCGTGGTAATCCCAGGAAATGCGGTGGTGTAAAAGTCGCCTCCGATGGAACTTGTCTCACAGTTTCCCTCTTTTCGGTAAGCCCTCCGCGGCTCGGCCCGCGACTGGCTGCTGATTGGATGGGGCTGGGGCGGGCCAGCTCACCATTGGTTGAGGCGTGGGCTCGGCCTCGCGGCACCAGTCCCGCGATCTTGGAGCGTCAGCTGACGCTGCCCCCGGCGCCAGGCTCCGGAGTGCCCTAATATGCCAACAGTGTCGCGCTCGCTGTGGGTGTGACTGTGGCTACTCAGACCTGTCGGGCTGTTACCTGCCAGGTACTGCGCATTCATTCAGGGTTACTGGTGTTCATCGGCTCCGGAAATGCTGCATATAGTCAAAATACAAAAGCAGTCCAACCTTCCCCAAGTCGCTGGGTCTGGACTCTGGACTCAATTGACCCCCTTAATGTAAACGCCCTCTGTAGCGAGACTGCAAGCTGGCACTGCCCCCCGGCACCAGGCCTTGGGATAATGTCTACGTCTCTCTATAACCGGACCGGGGTCTGTAACAAATAAGGCTTTTATCCAATGTTTGCGTGCAAAGGCTTGTACAGTGGTTCGTGATGAAAACATGGCTATAGTAAAAACACGAATCAGCAATTGCATGGTGTCCGAACAAGCGTGGTTGATGTATGGTTGATGGAACATGTTCCTAAGGTGAAGGTTCGCGACGAAAAAGTTTTGCATACCAAGGTCCCGTAAACAAAAACAAAAGTATTTTAAAAAGGCTGCAAGGGGCAATGTCTATCTGCTTGTTTTGCGAGAAAATATTCCTTTTGTGTTTAGCAACCTTGTTGATGTCAAGTACAGTAAGGTCCGTAGCACAAAACAGATCATTAACTCCAGGTTGAGAGCATGAACGAGGCTTTTCGGGAGGTCTGGGGCATTTAACAATACCCATCGAAACCGAGCAATCAAGAACATCAAAGGACCGACGCATTTACAACCGAACACAAACAACATTAAATTTCCGTATGACGAATAGTTTTGCACCCTAGCACCCTTTGATCTCAGCCCATGAAGCCACATCGCTACGTCTTCTCGACGATGCTTCTTGCGCCACATAATTCGCTCATTTTTTCATAACGCAGTCTGTTGGGAAGGGGGTCGATGCGACCTCCCGCCGTTTCCAAACTAGAAAAGATAGAGTTTAGCGAAAAGACACCGTGAATTGGTCCCAACGAGCTATCACGCTTGGTAATGTGTTTTACTGTTTGGTAATGCGTTTTAACTTCTTCAGCTTCACTTCAGCTGTACAGGACGGCGACCTCATTGGTGCTGAGACTTCAATGCGGCGCGGTTGCCAGCTGTGGGACATGGCGCTGCCGGGCAGCCGTAACACCGGGCATCTCCGTACAGATAATGAGCGAACTGTTAGCGGGGGTGCATATGTTCAGAAAACCGGTGATGTAAAATCTTTTTACAAGTATGATGGTGTGTTCTGCAAATCTATGCCACCAACCATTGAAATGCAATGACATGATGAGTGAAAACGTATACACGTGAATTACACGAGATTGGACGGCCGGAGTATTGAGTCCTCTTCGTATCGATATCGAACAAACTGTTAGTCGGGGGACGTTGGTGGCACAGTGGTAAGGGTGCTCGACTCTGGCTCTGTAACTCTTGCACTTGAGCCCCTGCCACGCCACAACGCATCCCGCATGATGCCCAATAAAGGCATTCGTCTCGAAATGACCCTGGCAGCCGGCGAAGCATTGGGACCCAGTCATTGCTAATGTGATGATGTGTTTTGAAAGCTTCTGCGGTCAACCATTACAATGAAATCGACGTGAAAATTGAAAACGCTTGCGCGAGAACTGCTGCAGAGATTTGCAACTAGGACATCGGACTATCTTCGAACCGATAATGAGCGAGATTGGAGTAGGTACGTACAAGTTTACTTTTTAAAGGATTCCACTTCCTGGGCAACGCCGCTCCGTTGGCGATGAAAAAGAATACACAAATAATCAGATAACCGGGGAGCCAAATGCATATACTTCAATGAGGGTGTGGTTATGTGCTCATTGCAAGCTTACATGCCTAGCGGGCAAAAGGCAATCACGTGAAAAGTGAAACCAAGCACGCGCAAACTGTTGGGGATAGTCAGCATCAGTACCAGGCTACCTTTTTACCAGCAAAAAGTCCATTATTGCTAGTAGGGGCATTTATCCGCGAACCGAGTAGGTAGAATTAAATGGCAAACATGATCATGTACTTTGCGAGCTTACATTCAGCAAAGCCGTTAAAATTCAACCAACATGGGAAGTAAATCCACCTAAGTAGGACCACATGTACTAGAGATGGCGAGATGCCACCCACCTTTTTCATCACGCGCGCGGCTGGCCAGTTGGATATCCTTTGCTCTGGGGGACGGGGGAGGGAGTATTTGACCCTCTGTGACCTACAAAAAGAAGCTAGAGCACACTAAGACAAATTAAGAAAGCTAGAGACACCAAATTCATAGGGTGGGTAGGCCTGTATGTGAACTCACTTGCGTCAAAATTTAAGGTTCCTAGGCCTTGACTTTCGGGCCTAAGGCCAAACAGGTCAACCTTCAGATCGCTGTCCAAAGTGCTCCCAGACCTCTTCATACAACCACCTTGAGCCTAGGTGCCTGTTCGAAGCAAAAGGTCACTGGCGTTCATCTAAGGTCAGTGACCTTGTTTCACCTTTATAAGGTCATGGAAATTGTTTTGATTTTTTGCATTTGAATAGGTGTTGAGGATTACGCTGGGTGGTATTTTCCCAAAAACTACATGTCAGCCTGGGCCATTTTAGGACAGTAACCTACGTTGATCTTTAAGACAGTTACGGTCCGGTTTTGCCCTGTCATGGGTCAGCGAACTTACAAGGTACATCCAATCTGTTTATGCCAAAGGAGCTGCTATTAAACTTCCTACCGCTATGCAACATTTAGCCTTGCGCGCCGCGCCGTTCGGAAATCAGTCTGTAAAACGCAGCGGGGGGGGGGGGGGAATTGACCTCCAAACCCGAGTGCGCATTAACCCTCGCCCTGATCGAGAGGAAATATGATCACCTAAGGCTTTTTTCGGGAATACCTCTCCGGTATGTCGCGCTATCGCACCCAATTTTCTTTTGCCTATGGGGTATCCATTGCACGTGTTTTCACGCTAACACACGTGTCCCTAGCTTCCTCAGCAGTGGTAACTGTTGACGAACACCGCACGGCGATCTGCGGCCTGCACTGACGGCGGGCGGCAACCGGCGATGCCGTGGAACGCGCACAGCAGGCTGACGGTGTCACACACACGGGGCCATTCACCATCATATCAAAATACACAAAACTATGCACCATTGTACCCAAAGGCTGAACAAGAAACACGCCGACTGGCAACCGACGCCAAAATACAGCCAGCTATGAGCCGGGTTCGCACGGGCGCGCGTACTATCCATGAGGCATCAGGTACACGACAATCTGTGTCCACGTTATCACGGCTTCTGAACGGTCGTGACCATACGAACTATGCTCAGGGATGGAGCAGATGTGTTACTGTACCACACTGCCACTCGTGTGACACTCGCGAAAAAGATCGGATGTTCACTATCGGCGCATTAAGTGATGGGCGTCTCATCTCCACTCTTAGAGTATTATTGTTCCCAAAAATGATGGATTTCATGTTTGGTTTAGAACCAGGGTACCAAGATTCCACTTCGGTACCGAACCATCTCACATTCGGGCGGTGCCAAAAGAGGTGCTGAATGGTCTCCACGCACATTGACCGTCGGGTGCCGTTATTTGTGTCACTCATCCTATACAGGTTTAACAGCTTGCTTGGTGGCAGAATGCGAAGCAACACTGAATATTGCAGCCATAATAACTGCCATCATCGGGCGTATCATGAATGGTTTTAAACGTATCTAATCACAACTTTAACCATTTATCTGAAAGTAGGAACACCATGTATGTTCAGTTTTTGTCATTCTGCGTTCATTTCTAATCGCCGGTCAATTTCGGCATGGCCATCCGGCTGCCTCAATTTCGGTATGTCCATCTGGCTGTCTCAGTTTTGGTGACCCATCCGGCTGTCTCAGTTTTGGTGGCCCATCTGGCTGTCTCAGTTTTGGCGGCCCATCTGGCTGTCTCAGTTTTGGTGGCCCATCTGGCTGTCTCAGTTTTGGTGGCCCATCTGGCTATCTCAGGTTTGATGGCCCATCTGGCTGTCTCAGTTTTGGCGGTCCATCTGGCTGTCTCAGTTTTGGTGGCCCATCTGGCTGTCTCAGTTTTGGTAGCCCATCTGGTTGTCTCAATTTTGGTGGCCCAGCCGGCTGTCTCAGTTTTGGCGGCCCATCCGGCTGTCTCAATTTTGGTGGCCCATCTGGCTGTCTCAGTTTTGGTAGCCCATCTGGTTGTCTCAATTTTGGTGGCCCATCTGGCTATCTCAATTATGGTGGTCCATCTGGCTGTCTGTTTTGGTAGCCCACCTGGTTGTCTCAATTTTGGTGGCCCATCTGGCTGTCTCAGTTTTGGTGATCCATCCGGCTGTCTCAGTTTTGGTGGCCCATCCGGCTGTCTCAGTTTTGGTAACACATCCGGCTGTCTCAATTTTGGTGGCCCATCTGGCTGTCTCAGTTTTGGTAGCCCATCCGGCTGTCTCAGTTTTGGTGACCTGTCCGGCTGCCTCAATTTTGGTGGCCCATCTGACTATCTCAGTTTTGGTGGCCCATCTGGTTGTCTCAATTTTGGTGGCCCATCTGGCTGTCTCAGTTTTGGTGACCCATCCGGCTGTCTCAATTTTGGTGGCCCATCTGGCTGTCTCAGTTTTGGAGGCTCATCTGGCAATCTCACTTGCCGTCTCAAATTCAGCAAAAGCTACCGCTGTCAACGGGTGTATCGGTGTTTGAGCTTTTAATGAGGCCACCCATTCTGCAGCCAATGTTTCCTTTTAAAATGTTGGTGTAAGCATTGGTACATAGGCCCCAGACGAGGAATAACGCCCCAGACACCCCAGACGAGGACGACGTCTGACAGTGGTTTCATCGGCAATTGTTATTTCTTTGGCAGCGGCATTCAAACGGAACTTTTTGTATTCCAGGAAGTTGTGCGCATAGCTAACTGTCGGACAGCATATGCCGTCAACTCAAGCCACTCCATGTCACTTGAGTCGCCACGATTTCTCACTCGCGTAATAATCATCGTTTTTACTTTGGAACATTTTTTTGCAGAAGGGCTCAATGACTTAAACATGTGATTTTTCTGGCGGTTTCGCCGGACATAACGGCACCCTTACTAGTCATTAGAGTCATTATTGTCCTTGATTTTGATGGCAGTTAAATGCCAGTTTTTTCTCATTTGGTCTTATACCCTCGGAAATATTTCCTAGAATGGTAGAACTAATGAATATATGGACAAAATGAATGCGTCTCACGTACCTAAGAGCCATCTCTCGCCGTCCAGCGATGCGTCCAGTAAGACAGTTTCTCCGTATGCAAACCATAGGGATACAAAATTGAAAACTGAGTGCACGAAATCCGTAACTATTTTGCGGGGGCACCCGATTCCAGATGTCCCCACGTCGAACACGTTCGCCGAGTCGGCAACATATTCATATTCAGATCGGTATTTTCTCGGCAGTGGACATTTAATCACCCTGAAAATTTTTATACAGATGTAACGTGACCTGCTGGTCGTATTACGAACAAAAATTAACCGGCACGCAACTTCCCGTAGATCCCACTCCTGTTGCCGATTAGCGGAGTTGTACTGTGTGTTTAACTTGATTTTTAAACTTCAAAACTACGTGTAAGGACGCATGGCAAGAGCGAAGCATGTGCTATCTGGCAGAACTGTTGACAAGGTCCGGACATTTTGATTGATGTCGTCTATGCCAAGGTCATGTAACCATGAGGTAATCTTTGCAACTTTTTTTCTGACGGATATGTTTCCATGCGTTCTTAAACCATACGCACCTTTGCTTTTACGAACTTTTACCCATACTAACCGAATATCGTTCGCACTTACAGGACAAAAAAACTGGTCATTTAATCATTATTAAATAATCATTTTCATGCAGGACACCAATATTTAAAGGCTGGCTTCACCCTCGCCCTGATAGAGGAGGGGTCGATGTGCCCCCCCCCCCCCCCATCAGGTTTTTTGAGGATATCTCTCTGGCATGTTGTGAAATCGTGACCAAGTTTTAGGAAGCTTTATGGAGCATCCTTTGCATACTTTTTGATACCAGAAACGTATTCCTGGCTTTTCTGTTTTCGGAGCAAGCAGCGGTTTTTGGGGAACACTGCACGGCGATCCACGGCAGGCACGAGTGGCGGGCGGTAACCGGAGATGCCGCGGAACACGTGCGACGAGGCGACAGAGCCATTATATACTCATTATCATTAATATATGCTCAACAGCCTCCGAAAATAAAGCTGCGGTATGTTTCTTTTTTAAGTTTTATTTCGACGAAGAATTTAAAGAAAACTTGAGCTTTCATGCATAACTGGAGGCCAGTAGCACGTGATGAACGCTTATGCTTCATGATTTTAGCATGGACCAAAGGCTTTGAGATAATAAATCCCATGTACATGATTATTTCAGGAAGTTTTTAAACAAAATAAAAGCAATGACACTTCACTAACATTTTTCTCACTTTTTCGACTACTCTAGCTGGAGGGGTCGGTTAAAGCGCGGGCCAGACGAGAAGTGGCGATTCGGCCCCGGGTTGACCGGCGCCGGCAAGCCGTCCGCGGTGCATGACGAGGAGAAAGCCAGCTATCCAAGACCGGCTATCGCGCGGCGCCGCCAGGGAGTTGCGGTGTCGAGTGTTACGGAACCAGTACCTGGCTGTGTCGCCGACCTGTTTTGTGCGGAGCGAAGGCCATAGAGCAGGGACAATTAAGGTAAAACTTGAAGGCATTGTATATAGATCGAAAGATGGCACCGGCAAATGATCAAAGGCCCCATTGCTTGTCATGATGCGACGCCGAATGTTGTGAGAAGTGGGGTGCAGGGGGGATAAGTTTGGCTGTAACCAAATATGAATTTAAAATGCAATTATGCCTGGATTCTGACCAGCTTATTTAGACGCACACATGTGGTGTTCAATACCCGCCTCAACTTTCAATCATAATATGGATTACTGTGCTAAGTGAGAAACTGTACAATATTTGAATTACATAGTTTCTCATGTCAAATGCTGGATTTCTTTTCCCATATGCTTGCCTGTCATGTGTAAGTCCTATGACTTTCACTTCATTGTGCTTGCAGGGTTGTGAGGTCCTGTCAAGTCTTAGGTACTTGAGCCCCCAACTTTGAGGCAATGAGCTAAATCCATAGACAACCTTGTTTGTTCTCATATTTTGAGGTACATTTAGTCATTTTGTACTGCTCAGACCCCTCTCCATAGATCAATGGTGAGATGCTGCCCCATGCTGCCCCCGGCTGCTACATTACAGCAATTATTCTCACCAGACTTGAGGAATTTGCTTAAACTGAAACCTTGCTGGGCTTGTGTCACTTGTTCCATTCAGATTTGTGCCAGATTTCAACCCAATCAAAAATGGCACTGGTCTTTGAAATATAATTGTAAGCCTATCAGATTTGATGCAGGTTATGCCACAGCTATACTGCCTTTACATTTTAATAAGAGAGGTGCGTAATTTTCTGCTTTTTATGGTATTTTATGCTGGACATAAATCACCATCATAGTAGCAGTGGGAGCAGTGTAAACTCCCATCATATTGTGGTTTAAGCATGTGAAGGCAAACATTGAATATGCCATGTGTTGGGATATTTTGTTAATGCCATGATATTACACAGCACCCACCATTAAGGCCAGTGCCATAATTTAGCAAAATAAGCTAGGGGATGAGCAGTGTATGAGGTGACCCTCAGCCACAAAATATCCCAACACACTTGTTTCTTTGTTCTTGTTTCTCACAAGAATTTGCTCCATTTTCCTCTTAAAGGTGGTGGGGGTTTTGGAGCCTCTCCCCCAACTCAATCAAGAACCACACCCTGATTATGTCCAAACATGCATGATTTGCAATGTGGTTCAGATCTGTACAACCCTGTATTGTGATAAAGTGCATATGGTATTATTGTAAGTGCATTTCAGCATGTAGCCCTTTGACCACATCTTTTCCAGACTATGCTATGTGATGGAAATCCCCTGCAAGAAAATCAGTTCCGAAATAAAATCGCATCATCTTAATTTTGAATGGGATTCTGCCGGTTAAAAGAATGATTCCACATTTATATGGGGTTTTGGACTGGAGTAGCCATCCTGAAGATCTTTTGGTGCTGTTCACAATCCTGTCCTTCTTAGATCTAAGCCCCTCTAGTTTTTGAGCTAGCATGCCTGCACATATGGGGAGAGTGTTCGGGTGTAGAGAGATTTCAGTTACCTTGGCATTCATGGCATTATAATAACATAATTCAAATCCTGCCATTCCGTAGGCCATGGGTCAATCAAGGCCAACAATAATGTGATTGCGGAGGCGTTCGTGAGCGCGATTTCCGGATATGACCGCCGTCAATTTGCTCTCAGTCAACGTTGCGCAAAGCACGACGACGTAATCAAACCATGACGCATTAAGAAGCACATTTACTTAGCAGAGCACTGTACTGTCGAGAGCAGTTTTTTCCACCCATAAGGTGTACTAATAGGAAGTGAACTTGTTTCGTCTTATTTGCTGCTTGCTTCAATATCTTCAGATGTGAAACATTCTCTTTAACCTGCATGAGTTGCTTCGTCGACGGGTGTCTAGATCAAAGTCCCGCGAATCTGTCCCAAATTTCTGGACACTGACCCCACCACCAAGTAGGGCAAATGATGGATGATATGACACCGCCTGTAAGCCAGGTACTGTTGGTCAGGGGCGCAGCCAGGATTTATTTAAGTGGGGTGTCCTGTGGTGGGTGGGGGGGGGGGGGGGGAGGAGGGGTTTGATCTCGCAATGCGCTAGCCTCACAGCCGTGTCGAGGAGAGGCGGTGCCTTATGGGGCCCGGTCGGAAATGTCTGGTGTCAGTGATCGTATGATTCTCCTGATCAGCGAGTTTTTTAAACGGGGCTGGCTTGTTTACCACTGTAACACCGGGAAGACGCAGAACGCTTCTACCGCTTTGCGATGGAATTGACGTTTACGAATTGGCCGCTCTACTTGATGTGGTATAAGATGCCGCTGATATTTCGTCTAGCGTATTATCTTCCATGGTTTGTCCGTGTTGTACATCGTTTGCTGCTGTTGGAGTATGTTTTTATTCCCAATCCATGTATTAGCAGGCTGTGTTGGCCACTGCCAGCAGAAGCTGGTAATCTTTTGTATATTTCCCTCACATTCTGTTTTCAGATATCACAAAATGGGTTTCATCGATATGCTGGGATATGCAACTGCCATCTATCTGGCGATAAGACTGGGTCTGACGCTATTCAGATTTGTCTACACCAGCTTCTTGGGAGATATGCTTGGCCATACTCCTGACTACAAGAAGCTCGGAGACTGGGCAGGTAAGTGTTGGATGAGGTCATTCAGATTTGTGTACACCAGCTTCTTGGGAGATATGCTTGGCCATACTCCTGATTACAAGAAGCTCGGAGACTAGGCAGGTAAGTGTTGGATGAGGTGCGATGATTGGGCTCATTATAGAAGCATGGATAGATAGCATATCACGATACTTCTGCAGTCTCGTTGCGGGTTTCCTCTATATTGTACGGCTATCACACACGTGTCACAAAGTATCTCTGTAGAGTATTTGTCTGTGGCTCATATTCTCATCTTTTTGGCCTCGAAGTATGGATTCACTCTGTACCACGCATTTCTACTCGACAGTGATGTATGCGCTGACTGATGGCGTAAACCACCTATTTTTCTGCGAACCATTTGCACCCTCATCGTTAGTTGGTCACTTGAATGATTCCAGGACGGGTTGCCATGTTTCTCCTTGTTTTTTTTTTTGTCGTTTTAACAGTCGGGGTCTGCTGACTCACACAAGAGCAGAATGTGAAAGGTTGTTTTACAGGTGTGGGTCTTTTGGTTGTGTAAACTATGCGTTATCTCATGTACAGTTAGTCGATATGATCTCTCTAACAGCAACTGTTTATTTTCAGTCATCACTGGTGCTACCGATGGGATTGGAAAGGCTTACGCCTTTGAGGTTAGCAAGTTTCCTTGTCAGCTTTCTGTTACGATAATATGGTCTTACCTTGCATCAATTGTTCGTTGACCTTGCCGCCATTTTCATGAAAAAATAATTGCATTGCTGTTCAATGTTAGTACATTTATTATTGTCTCACCGTCATTGCTTTGCCCCCGTGGGAGCTTTGTCTTACTAAAAGCTGCCCGCCGCCGCGACGGCTCGGCGGATACGGCATACCGTATCCGCTGATCCGGGGGCTGCTGCCGTGGCGGCGATCAGAGCCCGCCGTCGCGATGGCTCGGCGGATACGGTATGGTTCCGGGCCGGGCGCTGCTGCCGGGACGGCGATCAGAACCCGCCGCCGGCGTGCCGGTCGGCGCCAGTCGAGCTGACCTGTGCTCCGTTACAGTTCGCGCGCCGCGGCCTGAACGTGCTCCTCATCAGCCGTACGATGGCCAAGCTGGAGCAGACGGCGAAGGAAATCGGTACTGTCCGCCGGCGGCCGCACCCCTGCCGCTCCGCGGAGGCGATGTGGTGGCAGTTGGAACAGTATTTTGCGACGCTTCGGTTTTTAATATCAGCCCTGTTTCGTCTTTCATTGACAGGGCACCCCTGAAACACTCCAGGCTAGGAATTGTGGCGCACTTTGACCATGTTTAGACGGGGGTGAAGTGGTTGCTGAGCTGGTATGAAGCAGTGTTGAATATATGAAAAAGGTTAACATTCCTGCCTGAGACTATCCTATCGGCTAAAGAGCTTCGCAGGTAACATGCCACCGGGAAACCGTGACAGGTTTGCGCGACTGCAAGCCTCGCACGTGTTCCGCTACAAAGGTTTTTGCTGTTTGTTTTCAAACCGGCTTGCTTTTTCGGACACAATCGCTCTTTAGCTCCAAACAAGCGTGCGCATGGTGAGACCGAGTGCAAGGCCCCATGCTCCCAACCTGCGTCCTCAACCGGGCCCGCACGGTGTTCCAGAGGCCAAGCACGGCGTGCAGACCCGCGCGGTGTCGATGGACTTTACTCGCGACCTGTCGGCCTACGAGCCGATCCGCACCGCGCTGGGGAGCCTGGACGTGGCCGTGCTGGTCAACAACGTGGGCATGAACTACGAGCACCCCGAGTTCTTCGTAGAGATTCCCGACGACAGGTGGGCAGACACCGTGCGATATGAGGGTCGTAGCCGGGATCGCGCCGTCGAAATGGCGCCGTGACCCGTCCCGTGATAGGCACAGCCGCCTCACAGACAGTCCAGGCTTTGTTTTATTGAGATGCTCAATCGGAGCTTGCTAGGATGGTTCGTGCATCTTCACTACCTTTTTTCTTAGAATCTTTTAATGTTTGATAGATTCGGATTGAATTGATGCTCGAGTAGTTTGAAACCTTTTTGCACTTGACTTTAAAGTTTCGTGTGCCTTAAGGCGTCTACGTCACTCAGGGTGAATGTACCCTCAAGACCTCACCTCGCGAAAGTGATCTGTGCGGACTCGCACGTTGTACCAATGTTGTCCTCTCGCACAAAGGTAAGTTCTGCAATGGAACGAACTCTGGCAATCGTATAGAAGATCACTTGATGGAACTGGACTGAATGTAAATATTGTTATCATTTGAACTCGGCCAGCTTTACCCTGCGGGCATGCAGAGAACATCGCAGAGATGGTAGCAATGTGATCTGACCTCGCGCCCCCGGGCAAAAATGGTGGGTTGTGTATGTGGTTCTTGATACCAGTCAATTTTCTGAAGAGCGCATTGGATGTCGAGTGAGCCGAGCGCTGCAAACGTGCGCCAACGCTGGCTAAGCTGGCGAAACAACTGAAGCTGATGAGAGCTGCGGAGGAAATTCTGTTTGATTGCCACCAGATATTGAATGCTCTTGTATTCACGTTCGATTCCGTTTCGGCCCCGTCAAGGGAATGTGTGCATTACCTGGTCACGGAATAGTTGCATGTCTGACCATATTTTGTGCTACCAAACTGGATGCTCATTGGAGTGTTCTGTCCTCCGTGAGTGAATTTATCGTTACTGCAATTCTCACTCTCGGACTTCCACGCCAGGTTCACGCAGGACATCTTGAACTGTAACGCGCTCTCAATGACGGCCATGACACGCCTGGTGCTGCCTCACATGCTGGCCAAGAAGAAGGGTGTCATCATCAACCTGTCGTCGTTCTCTGCCGTTATGCCGACTGCGCTGCTCACCCAGTACTCGGCCACCAAGGTACGGGGCGGCGCGGCCGCCTCGGTCACAGGCCAGCCGGGGTCGGGCCCTGACGCTGTGTCAGTGTTCCAATTTCCGTCCACTTGGGTGGCAGGGATGTTGATATTTTTCATGTTATACACCTCGGCTTGGGGCTCGCTGTCTATTGCTCATCCCCTTGCTTAAAATCAGCCAATCAGCATCAAACCAGGCGGCTGCCAACCAAGTATCTAAGCGCCTCAGGCTTTACAAACGGGCGGGGTAGGTCAGATGCATGGGCTCGGGGTCAAAGGGTGACGGATTAGTGCCAACGAATTGCGTGCAGGGGCCGCCGAAGAGCCAGGATTCTTGTAGCATGAATTCATATTTGCATCCTGCACACCCTACTGGATGAATTTTGGAACGCTGCGCTGTGTCGGCCGCCAGGGTACGGGGCGGCGCCGCCGCCTCGGCCACAGGCCAGCCGGGGCCGGGCCCTGACGCTGCGCCGGCCGCCAGAGTACGGGGCGGAGCCACCGCCTCGGCCACAAGCCACAGGCCACAGGCCAGCCGGGGCCGGGGCCTGACGCCTCGGCCACCAGGGTACGGGGTGGCCGACAGTAGGACGATGGCCTCCTGTTCACGGCCAGAAATAGACGGAAGAAACCAGCACGGCCACTGCTCTCTATTACTCTTCGCAGTTTTAGTTACTCCGTATAAGTTCGAGTGGCATCTGTGTGCTTTTCGCATCAATTTCAATCGCCATGGAGGTTGGTGGTGTTTTGTTTTCGTAAAGTGCAATTTTTCTAGCCCAAATCTAGAGCATTGTTTCCAAGGAAGTCTTGAAAAGCAACCTATAACATAAATTGCATATTTTTCCATGGATGAAAGCCGAAGGGTGCGCGCATGCGACATGCTATTGGCCAGTTGTAATCGATGTGATGACGATATTTGTGTTTTAGGTCCGAGTTGACTGCTTTGGTGACTTATATACGCGCTCATATGCGCCCTTGGGCATATGAGTGGACATATGAGTAGACATATTGCCATGAAAAAGTAAAGGCATATGAGCAGACATATAGCTATGAAAACCACCAACTCCGAACAAAATTAACCTGGCTGTGTTAAGCCCCTGTCTGCACTTCATCTGATAAACATTTATAATCTCAAGTCAACCTGCCAATCTTCTGTAAACCCGCAAGCGTATAACTCAGTGGGAGCACGTGAGGAAAAGCGGAATAATGACAACGCGGAATAAAATCTTAAGTACCTGCAACATATAATTGACTGCATCGGTGACGTTCCGCTCCTTCGGCGCATGTATGGCTCAGCCGCAGCGTACGAATGGAGACATACGCTCACGTTGCGGTTTATTCAAAAGCCGCGTGTAGCTGGCGTGCATTTCACCTCTCAGTCCGTGTCGGCCTTGCCTGCCGACCTGACATTGACGACCGGGCGGTAGCAGCTGCTCTGACGCTGACCTGACCTTGAACACTGGGCGGTAGCAGGTGCCCTGGCGCTGACCTGACCTTGAACACCGGGCGGTAGAAGCTGCCCTGGCTCTGACCCGGCCTTGACTCCCGGCAGGCGTACGTGAGCCAGCTCTCGTCGGGTCTGCAGACGGAGGTGCGTGAACACGGTGTGATCGTGCAGAGCACCACGCCCGCCTTCATCTGCTCCAAGATGTCCAAGTTCACCACGCCCCGTCTCTTCGTGCCCTCTGCTGACCAGTTCGTGCGGGCGCAGCTCAAGACAGTCGGCCTTGAGACGGAGACCTTTGGTTGCATGTCCCACAAGATACAGGTGCGTGCGGCGGACTTCCACCAGGCACCAGCCTCTCGTATGTGCCTACCGTGAGATGGCAGGCGAGGAGCTCGTGCACCCGAAAAAATCGCTAAAATGCTGCCCCTGCGTTGTTGTATCAAAGATAAAACAAAGCTCTTTATTGCCGACATGTCTGTACATGTGTGGAAGCGACAGTGCCTTACGAGAAGGTAGGTGTTTTGCAAGTGGCTGAGGGTTGCAAATGAACCGGGAGGTTCCTTCTTGATGCATTGGTACACCATTGTTTGCATCTCCCGTTCTTGCCGTCACCGCTTAACACGCCTGGTTGGCGATGCGGCCTGGCCTGCCTGTGCAGCAGACACTGTAAGGTTGCTGTATTGGGTGGTTTTGAATAGTTGTTTGACTGTTGAGTGCTCCTTCTCGACCCCACCACCTCCCACCCAGTGATATCTAACGGAACGGACAGACACCTGCTTGACACGCCTGCGACCGCCAGCGCAGGGTTCGTCCGTTTGGCCCTGACGCTCTGCTTTCTCTCAGGGCATGGCCGCCGGCCTGGCGAACCGCCACCTGCCCGAGTCAGTCATGAGCAAGTACTATTTCGACCGCATGCTGGGAGTGCGCGCGCGCGCCATCAAGCGGAAGGCGCGGAAGCAGGAGTGAGCCGGCGTCCATTAGGTGGAAATGACGTCCTCTGTGTGTGCGAGCACAGGTACAGGCCGTCCGTAGGGTGCGCTCTCGAGGGAAGTGTTACGGGCTGGGTCCAAGTTGCTTATTGTCTGTGGCGTTTTTGTGGATTTATTCGTAGAAATGAACTGCGTGTTTCAACCTAGATTCGAAAACCGGACCAAGAAATTGCGGCGAATGTTTTGCTTGTTTATGGATTCTGCATTATGTCCGACTCACGCTACCACGTGTGTCAGACATTCTGTGGCGGATCTCATCATGTTATTATGTCACGCGTAATACTCAAGAAGTAAATCAAGGTCATTGCTGCAGATTTTGTGAGAAAATGCTTACGTGTAAGCAGGGTGTGGCTCCCACTCAGCTGGGATGAGAGCTCCAGCCTCCTAAACTTGGGGTAGGGATTGGGTGAAATCCGGGAGAAGCAAGCTTTAATCTGCTATTTTGGTAGTAGTTTTGGTCATTTTTCACCGCTTAATCCCCAAACCATTCGTCTAAACCACACCTCTGAGTGCAAGCATGTGTTTAGCTTGTGTATATGTTTGTTGGTGTTATCACCTTCTCGTTCGGTACCGGGACCTACTTATTCGAGGGTTATGTTTATGACGATGTACGTTTTGCGCACTGCCGGCCCGGAACACCATCAGCAGACGTCCGAGCGCGGAGAGGGTGGCCTGTTTCACGCTGTAGTTGAAGTGCAGCTCTGACTGGGATAGCGCGCGGCGCCCGAGCTCGCTGCGAGATGGCCGGGCCGCCGGGCAGCAGCTCAGCAGCGGAGGACGCTCCAGAGTGGACGGGGTCCGTGCTCCACCCCGGCCGGCACACGCAGGCTCAAGTGGTGTCGCGCGCCTGGCTCGGAATCCGGCATTGAAGGCACCGGCCGAGACGTCCACGGCTTGGCGAGGGCTCCGCCGGCGGAGCGTGTGCTGGCCGGACGCCGCGCCGCGGGAACTGTGCCGGGCACGGACGCCGGCGGAGCGTGTGCTGGCCGGACACCGCGCCGCGGGAACGGTGCCGGGCACGGACGGCGGCGGAGCGTGTGCTGGCCGGACGCCGCGCCGCGGGAACGGTGCCGGGCACGGACGGCGGCGGAGCCGGGCTGTTGACATGCTATACGCTGTACGTGCATTCAATATATTACAAAGTCCAGCCGGCCTGGTTTTCCTCGCGGCGGCGGGACCACTTCTGGTAATGCATGGAAGCCCTCGGCCACGTGACACAAAATCACAAGACGTTAACCTCGTGCGAAATTCGTTTAGTACCACATTGTAGCCAGTCTGTCTGTCTTAGAAAACAACGTTGCTATGCAAATAGTTATTCTCCCGCTTAGACCCATTTGCCTGGTTCCCAATATTTCTTCCCGGGAACCGGTTCTTGGTTCCTGGTTCCGGAACCAGGAAGAACCCAGGGACCAGTCCGGCAATAAGTCAAAAGATCCAGCGAGAACCAGGATCCAGTTCGACAATAAGCCAAAAGATCCAACAAGAACCAGGATCCAGCTTGACATGAAGACGAAGGATCCAGCAAGAACCAAGGTCCAGCCTGATACCAAACTGAAGCAAGAATCAAGATCTAACTTGGATTGGGCATAGGGGCCCAGCAAGAACCAAGATCCAGCCTGGCGTTATGTTGAGGGATCCAGCAAGAACCAAGATCCAGCTCAGGCTAAGATGAGGATTCAATTTCCACAAGAACCAAAATCAATTCTAAAATTATGTTCAGGAATCAGCAAGAGCCAGAATCTTACCAGGAGTTCTTCACAGCAGTTGTTGCTCACACTCCCCACTTTTTCAGGTCCAGCAATGGTGCTGTTCTTAATGTAAATTAATAAAATTAAGTCTGTGAACATTGCTGGTTATCTGCTCAGGCTGTTCATCATATACCATAAAACACATTTGCTGTTCTTCAACGTAAATAACACTGCAAATCAGAAGAACAAAAGCAATAACGTGTCACGATACGGGTATGATGCAGACGTGCTAGGTCTGCAACTGGGCTGTTAGCTGCCTAATGCTATATATATATATATATATATATATATATATATATATATATATATATATATATATATATATATATATAGTTGACGACGAACTGAAGCGCGAGGACCTCGTCTCCCGCTCGTTGGGAAGCGAGCAACACTTCTCCGCACGAGTACTGGTCGGGGAGTGGAGCAGTGCGCGTGGAACGCAACAGACGCTCCACGTCATCGCCAGCGTCGTCTCGACACGATCACGACTTCGCCACACCGAGGGACTACTGGCGCCGCGAACGCTACGGCTCGCGGTCGCCTAACCGCGCGGTGGGCGGTGCCTGGCCTCGGCCCTGGACGGTCGCCGGAGCGGTCGGGTGCCACCTGGCGGGAGCCGCGCCAATCACCGTCTTCACGCTCCTCGTTAGATGGTGTTGCGCGCCGCGCTGGACGACCGCTTGTGCCCACTGAAGAGCGTCGACGGGAGCCTCAATGGTGGTCCTTGCTGGAGCCTCGGGCACTTGAAGAGGCACTGCTCATACGGACAGTCGGACAGGCTGGCAAGGGAGAGGTAACGCTCCACAACGCAGGGTAACAGCAACGGCTTTTCGATAAGCGATGGGCTTCTGGATACCGGCAATCAAGCCAGCCCCACTGGCAGCTGCGTCTTTGGTGGAGCTGCTCCTAACGTCCAGCCCAAGCCGCCTGCCCGGTTATCAGCGTCAAGTCATCATTTAAGCATGTTGGTTATCTGTTCCCTCAACAATAGAGGCTGTACGGGTGAGAGAAGAGGCAACTGCAGCAGAGTACTGTAGTACTCAACCCTTTGCACAATGCAGTTTTGGGATGGGATTTTCTTTCGAACAACAGTGTCATGGTGAACTGTTCTGTGAATACTAGTGCTAAGTTAAAGCTGCGACTCAAGAAGACTGTAGCTGTCCCTCTGCAGCCAGCTGTGTGTTTGGTGGTCAAGGTGACCGACCTTTACTGTGTGAGAGCGAGCATTTGTTGGTGGGACAACGCTCAAGCAACTTTGAAATATGCTATTCACTGAAAGCACCGTTTACGTCAACAGAGTTCCCAATATTCTTTCACCACCGATCTGACCGCCTGGTCACCATACACAGGCGGAGCGCCATTGGCTACGCAGAGCCGATTGATCATGCTGACGTCACAGCAGAAGTGAACACGGCGTCTGCTGACGACGGCCGGGATGTTGGAAAAACCAATGATGAGGTTTTATCAGAGTCTGTGGTCGGCTCCCCTATTGATAGCTCCCAACGAGATAGATAGATAGGAGACGTTGATCCGTTCATTTCCGGAGGTGTTTTCTAGCGGCTATTCATGCATTGGCCAGTACAGCGGTGGTGATATTAACTTGTAGTTGAGAGCCCGAGTCCGAGTGTTGACAGCACAGCTTTTGCACAGGTTCTGGAGAAACTACGCGATGGAGGGCTCAGACTCGCTCCAGATAAACGTCGTCTCTTTCAAATCATTTTGGGTTTTTATTGATCCAGATCGTATTCAGATAATTGCTGACCTGAAGCCATCTACGTCTGTGGAAGGAACTAAGAAGAGAGTGCTTGGCTTCTTTTTAGGGTTCCATAAGTTTGTCCCGTCTTTCAGTACTGTTTCAGAGCCCTTGGTCACGTTGTGCAACTCCTGATAATTTTGTTCTGGAAAGAGGAACTAGACCAGTGTTTTTCCCGCCTTCGTACGGAGATGGTGGAAGCCAAAATTCTTGGCTACCCGCGCAAATATTGTTCATTCATTCTGTATACAGATAGTAGTTCCACACGGGATTAGGCAAAATTTTGTCTCAAATACGGAGGGGGAGAAGCTCATTATTGCTGGGATAATAGACCAGGTCGGGCGGCAATATATATCGCTCGGCTCAGAGGAAATGGACAATTTTTTAGCTAGAAGCACATAGTTTCATTTAGGGCTTAAAGAAAGTTTACAAGCATTTAGCGGATGTCACGTTTGCATGGGTCTGCGACTGCAAGAGCGCTCTCAAAATTTGCACGATCGAGATCTCATCAACCCGAGGCTGGTATGCGGGGAGGTATTTGCCGATCAATTCCGTCGCTCCGCTGCGCATAGGCCAGCCACACAGATGCAGCACGCAAGCGTACTCTCCCGTTTGCACGAGGTCGGTACTCCGGCGCAACATGCATCGCTGCCAGACCGGGCGGTGCGAGGTACCCTGTCCGATGCTGGCGCCCCTGGCGGCGCATTCGGGAAGTGTGTGGAGCCGGTGAAGTCCCGGGCGGCGAGGCCGGCGGCTCGCTGCGCAGGTGAAAGCGGCTACGGTGCAGATGCCGGTGCTCGTAATGCTCAACCAAAAAGCGACGACGGGTGTAGATACCGAAAGCAACAACAGTCTGTGTTGACTGACACAAGTGATTGGACAGGCGTTCCACTTGCACAGCCGGAGGACAGTGCACACGGCACAAAGTCAGAGCGGGCTCGGGATGCCAATTTGACGGTTGCAGATCTTCTCGTGCAGTTTTCTCGCAAGTCGGATTCCCTTGCGTGGTACCCGAAACATGACTGGAATTGTAGAGCGATTGCCCGTTATCTTAGCCATGGGCCACGGCCTTGCTTTCCTTACCCATATCTGAAACGAGAGCAGCCCAATCAGTTTCGCCTAAGGGACATGATTATACTCCGAAAGGCTCAGCCAGCAGGTGTTGATTTCATTGTGCGGTCCGTTTCTAAGCGTGTGAGCTCCATTTCAGCCGCCTCGATGCATCCCATCGCGCTCATGGGGCTGGAGCTACACTGCATGAGCGGTTGAGCAGATGTGCTTGGTTGCGAGACTGCGGGGACCATATCCAGAGCTGCAGGCGGGGCGGTCAAAGAAGAAGCACCAGGCTGCAGAATTCACCACTTCTTCCCCAGGAGACCGGCCATCCGAACAAAACCCTTGTCATAGACATTTTGACCACGCCTCAGAGGTCAGTGACAGGGCGGCGTTACCTTTTGGCCTGTGCGGGTAAACTTTCTGTTTTCTCTGTGTGTCATCCGCTTGATTCTGCGTCGTCTTTCGGCAGCACAGAAAAGCCAGAACATCACTTTTGACGTTTGGGCCGCCCGAATTGGTAGAGAGTGGCGCGGAGTCAAATCCGCCAAAAAATTCGGGCGTTCAGCTCTGTGCGAGTATTTTGGGGTTCGGGCATGGTGCAGTGTTGGCTATCATCACGAGGCCGTGGGTTAAGTTGAAAGAAAACACCTGGGTATTGAGCGACGGTTACGCGCCGTGTCCGAGTCTCCTGAATCTGGCTGGGAGCGGCGTCGTCCTGAGGTGTGCAGTACCATGGCTACACCCCATTCTTTATTCATATTCTTCGCCATCCAAGCAGTCCCATTTCTCAGCTAGTTGGAGGCTGAGTGAGTTTGTAAAAAGGCGACGTTGTCCACGAGAACTTTCCAATTCTCTCGACAACTTTACAGAAAGCTCGGAGGGAGCAGGCGGAGCGCATGAGAAAATGCAAAGCGCATTACGATAAGCGAAACAGGGCGAAAGAACGAGAGATGGGATCAGCTGACGGAATCTGGTACCGTAACTTCGACATAGGAACAAAGCTGGATAGCCCGTGGGTTGGACCATTTGTTGTTTTGTGTCGCGCGGGCCGCCGAAATCCCGGTGCTTTCGATAGGAAGGGTACTGCTCGTTGCGCACGTAAAATAATGTAAATAATAAAATAATTGACCACTGTGTGTAATGTCTGGACCTGCCCACATACTTAACTGGCGTCATCGAGCGACATGTGCACAGTGATTGTAAGCAAACTAGTGAGTGGTGAGTCATATTTCCCTTGGTTTGTTACTAGAACCGAATTTGAGTTTTGAGAGGGGAAATATCACGCCCCGCATCGCCCTGGATCCGGCTCTGTCCAGTGTGACGTAGGAATGGCTTGAGGCGTTTGGGGCCGCCGACGTCAGCGCAGAATGTGCACGAGGCGGGCAGTTACATACAGGCCCCGTTTGGTTACATGTGTTGCCCAAGTGAATGTGGACCTCGTGACTCGTCAGCCGGGTTGCTCCGTGACAGCCATAAGTCAACTGCCATCAACCACGTAAACAAGACATGCATGTTTGATTGATGGCTCGTAACAAAGCTCAAGCTTGTCCATTTTCAGTACGAAACAACACAACATGCTACCACACTCCGACAGCGTTACACCACATCTCGTTATGCTGATTCAGAACATAAAATATGTTTTGTTCTACCAGCGGCGACTCTCGAGGCATTAGACGCCGAACGACAGAGCCTCCAATTTATTATATAAGCCTAGCTGAGATGCCGGCGATGCCCGGGTAATGAAAGCAAATGTACTGCAAACGAATTATTTAAGACAGCCTTGAGTGGTTTAATAATCGCAAAGTGATTCGGCTTGTATCGTGGGCGTGTTCTTAATTGCTCTTGAATTTTATAAGGGAGACACTCCAATGAATGCTGGCCGCAACTCCTTCTCTGGAGTAAAACAATTACCACGACACCAAAAATGGCTCACCGCCTGGCGATCGACTTTGAAGAAAGTATGGCGAGCCGGCTGCATACAATCTGCAGAAGTTACGCACCAGTTTCAGGTTACCCGCCAAGGGACTCACGCACGACATAGGTCGCTCGGTTCTGTGGAATCCCTGATCAGTCAGTGGGGTCATGCGCCCCGCCCCCTCCCTCCCCCCCCCCCGAAGTACAGCCTCACGGTCCCGGCTTGCGCACTTCCGGAAGCGGACTAGTCGAGGGCTGAGTTAACGAGGCCATACGTGACGCAATGCGACCATCGGCAGTGCAGGCTGGATACCACGTTGTGCACTGCGATTCTGCTGCAGCTGAATTCCTGCGTCAACAAATCATACGGTTGCGGCGTACACAACAGCCGTACCTGTGCATCACGTCTTTGGCTTTCTCTTTTGCAACAAGATCCTGCAGAACGTTTGAGTTAAATAGTTTATTTGCCTCTTCCCATTTGCATCATCGCTGCTGATGAAATTCCCGCGAAGTTGAAGGTATCTCACGCCGCCTCCCATGACTGTGTCCGTGTGGTGTGACTGGAAGTTCAGGTAGCGCTCGGTTGCTGTTGCTTTCCGCAACACCGATGTCTTGAAACTGATGGCGCTTCTCTCGACTGATAAGCACATCTAGGGACGATAAGCACATCCTGATGTCGTCTTCACGTCCCATGGTAAGCTGGATGGGGTATAAGATGAGATATAAGCTGGATGGATGGTCGCGAGCTGTCGCTGCGGTCGAGGAATGTTGCTACACCTTCCCTGTGTTGCCAGAGGACAAAGGTGTCATCGACGGAGCGCAGCCATTCTGAGGGTTTGATGACGCAGGTTCGCCATGTTTTTTAAATGTTCCAGGCGGATGTTGACAATCACCGGTGACAGGTTGACCATATGCCACCCCTCGGTTTTCTGGCAGCATTGCTCGCTTAGCTGGAATGCTGTTCTGGTGACGTGGACAAAAGGTGTCGTTCGAATGGTTCGGTTTTCGAACCTCATCAATCTCACCATGCATGCCATTTCTGTTTTTTTCGTTGTAAGCTTCGGGATAATTACTTCGCGGCCCAAATACAGCTAGTTTGTTAAATGGTGCAAATAGTAAGACTAAACTCACCGCTCCGCATAAAGAAGACTGCGTGTATCGGTTGAGAAACACGCACACCTGGAGAAGGTCAGCTTGTCCAGCGGGGTTCCTTTCCCAACACTTGGGCCCAGCGGGGTTCCTTTCCCAACACTTGGGCCCAGCGGGATTCCTTTCCCAACACTTGCAAGTGGTCGAAAGATGGTAAAGGAAGTAATAGGCTCAGCAGACTGAAAGTTGAGGCGCACTGGATGTCACGTGGTGATACTGAGTAAAGCCCGTTCCCGGGCCGCTCTGCCAACGATGGACAAAAGGAACCATTTAATGACTGGCCTCGACTGAGCATTCTCGGGGATGTCCCAGGCTAATGACATGTAGTGCGCTACAATGCAATAAGGAAGCATCGCTGTAGTTCAAATGCGTCAGCAATGTTGGTGGCTCATGATGTTTCATGACGAAGATAATGATGAAGGATATGGTGAAGGCTATAACTATGGGGATGGTGTGCTTCCATGTCTTCTGACGTAATGTACACAGCGTTAGGCGACGCCTGGGGCGATCTACGAGCGGAATGACGAAAAATAGCAGTGACATTAAGATTGATATTAGGTTAACCTACCATGGGCAATCCCTAAAGCAGTAGAGGCTTCACGTTTGTCCAAGTGTTTTGTTGTTTTGAAACCGCTGTGTGTGCTCTGCCTAGAACAATTCGTTGTTTGCTCCACCACAATGTAGAGAGGCCAACAACAGCACAATGCGTGCGATTTATGTCACCACCGCCAGGGGGGTGGACATTCAGGGGTCCAAGAATCCACGCCCCTCTACTGGCGACACCCGTAAATGATCCAAGGTATGAATTCGAGCGGAGAACCGTTGCATCGCTTAAGAAGGAAGTTCTATCCACAGACGTCAGTGCGAGGACGTCGACTTCCGTACATGGGTGGGTGTGGGCGAAAGTCCGACAAGCCAGGCTCATCAACTGTGCCTTCAAGGTATGCGCATCCACTTTAAGTTCAATGGTAATGTGTAGTTCTAGTTGCGTGTCTGTGTAGTTATATTTCCCAGAGCCAACATCAAAGGCGGCTTCAGGATTTCGTCAAGGGGGGGCGGCATGCAACATTGTGGGCCTGCCCTAGGGCTTAGGGCCCCCAAGATCTGCGAATTCTGACCGTTAGATTTTAAGTTTGTTATCTTATTTGTCATACGGGAACCACTGTGCGCAGCCCTAGACAAATAGGCGTGCTGCGTATGCACATGCATGCAACGCATTTATTTTCTACAGGTCATGGTGAATCCTGCAATTGTAAGGCTACGTTGTTCGGAAAAAGGAAAAACAAACTGAAGTTGACTGCTAAATACCGTAAAATCAAGCACGAACGACGCAATTCCTGGCTTATTTACAGCCAGCCAGCTGGTCGATGTGATCAGCTAATGGCTGATAACTTATTTGAGGACTGTTTGCTTTGTTCCTATGAAGGAGTACAAAATATCCCAGCATTTGAAATGTGTTAAGAACGTGATGCACAAATATTGTATGTGCTACAAATTCAAAAACCAACGGAAATGACGCACGCGACGTCGGCGACATCTACAATTATGTTCGATAATTGCGGGTAAAAATTAATCGGCGCATATCAAACTGCTGCTCTAAAGCTAGCATACCAAGGCCAAGGGGGACGGAATCTGAGCTATCACGACGGGCCAAAAAGAGGCTTCCGTCAGCAAGTAAAGGGTACTCAGAGCAAGCGAGAAGAACTCAAGACCAACGTGGTGGGGCGCTGAACGATTGGGGGTGCCCCGGCGGGCTGACATAAAGGGCCCCGTCCAGACCACAGGGCCCTCTGAGAAAAGGGAAATTACATAAGACCAGTGTTCATACGTGAGTTAATGCCCCTGTGCGACCAAAAGTGCCCGGAAAAATTGAACGGAGCGTTGCACGTTTATCTGGGGTCTTGAACTGAAATAGATATCTTGAAGACCTTTTAGTGCTGTTCACAATCCTGCCCCTCTTAAGAACTAAGGCCCTCTAGTTTCTGAGCTACACGCCCGCGAAAAGGGAGAAAGGTATATCGGGAAAAGTATTCCAAGGCCCTCTTGGCATTCAGAAGGTCATAATAACGTCATTCAAATCCTGACATTCCGTAAGGCATGCGGCAGTCAAGGCCAAGAAAATTATAACTGTCGAAACTTTTCGTCGCTGTTCACAGTCCTACCCTTCTTAACAACTTAAGGAAGGGCCCCGATAGGAGTGAAGGGTCCTTCAAACGTGAGATCAAAGAGAAAGAGCCCTAGGTCGATGTAGAGCTCCCCCGAGCATCCAGTGATTCGGCGTCTTACCTTACATAGGCCTTAGTAACAGCACAAGGCCCTCCGAGCCAGTGGAAATAACCCGAATATTATATGAAGGGTCCCTGAGCAACTGAACATGCCCCGATCGTTTTGGTATATGGTGCCCGGTAAAAACGCATGGAGCCTTTCGAGCGAATGCAAGTAATCCGTGGAGGGCTACTGATGGATCATGAATGTTCAGGCGTGTTAGCAGATAGCGCCCCAACAGCAGCGTAGGGTCATACGAGAAAATGCGGAGATCAAGGATGACGTGGAAGACTCTTAGCAATCGGGTTAACCTAACAGGTGAAGGTATAGAGCCCTGGCAGCAGCGTCACACCTCTGGACAGCCTAATGAGCTTCTAAATGTCCCCCAGTCATCACCCTCTCAATCCGTAAAGAATTGCTCGTGGTGTCTTCACCTATGGTTGTGACTGCTCTTGGTCGTCTGAAGGACCAAAGACGGCCAATTTTGTTGTATTTTGTGCTCGAAAACTGCGTCCGTTCGGCCAGTCATGAGCCCCTTCGAAGTCTATGCCCCCCCCTTGGAGCACAAGGGGGGGGGGCATGCTTCCATAACTCCCCTCCGGATTTCCAGTGGCCCCAGAAATTTGATAGATGGAGCCCCAACAAGATCATAGGGCCATCCATTGAAAATACAAGTACCCAAGACAACATGGAGAGCCCAAGAACGATCGAGTGCGCCCGGGTAGGTTAACAGATGGGGCCCCACGACAAGAACGTAGGGCCCTCCATTTCAATGCTAATTACCCACGGCACAATGTGGCGGGCCCCCAAAAGGTAGAGTGCACCCGAGCAGGTTAGCGGATCGGGCCCCCGACAAGAACGTGGGGCCCTCCGTTCAAAAGAAGGTGCCTACGACCACGTGCAGATGGTCCATGAACGATCGAGTGTGCTCGGGCAGGTCATCAGAAAGGCCCTCAACAAGAGCGCATGACCTCTCACTCAAATGAGGAGCACCGAGACCCAGGACTCTCAAAAGATTAAGTGCACCCAAGAAGGCTATCAGTTGGCCCCCGACAGGAGTGTTGGACCTGGATTTAAATACCATGTCCCAACGTGCAAGGCCCCCGAACAATCTAGTGTGCCCGAGAAAGTGAACAGATGAGATTCCCGACAAACGTATGGGGCTCCCCATCCAGATAGAAAGTACCGAAGACACAATGTGGAGGGCCCCCAGCGGTCGGGTGGGCCGGACCAGGTTAACACATAGGGCTCGACAAGAGCGTAGGAACCTCCATCCAAATTGGAGGTACCTAAGACCCAATGTAGAGGGCCCAAAACGATCGATTGTGCCTGAGCAGGTTAACAGACGGAGCCCCCAACAAGGGCAAAGGGCCCTCCATTCAAATAAGAAATACTCACAACACAATGCAGAGTGCCGTCCAAACGATTAAGTGTGCCAGAGCAGGTTAGCAGGTAGGGCCCCCGACAAGAGCATAGAGCCCTCGGAGGGCCTCCGAACGATCGCATGGTTCGGAGCAGGTTAACAGATAGGGCCCCCGACATGAGCATAGAGCCCTCGGAGGGCCTCCGAACGATCGAGTGGTCCGGAGCAGGTTAACAGATAAGGCCCTCGACAAGAGCGTAGGACCATCCATTAAAGAAGGAAGTACCCAAGACCAATGCATGCATCATGCATGCATTGTATGAATGTATCGCCGGAAGTTGCCATTTCAGTAGCAAGTAAAAATAAGGTCTTCTTTCCAGATGCCGCAGGGATTTCGCAAACTTCCTAGTCTCCAGGTAGTTTTTAAAGTATCTAAGGTATTTGCAAGATCCCTGGCTAACCAGAGAGTTTGCAAACTCCCGGGTTTTTCGCGCTCACTGTAATACGCATGCAATGTAACCCTCATACGCACGCGCACACCCACACGCACACGCACACACCCTATGAACCATTTTTGCTGATACCTTAAAGGTGGACAGCATTGCATCAGCTGATTCTCCCGAAACTACCGGGTTGCATCACCGCATGTTTCGGAAAGTTATCTCTTGAGAATGATGTCGGCTCAATAACACAAAAAAATGTTGCTTCCATTAGAATGCTATCGCCTTGATCTGCCTGTTCCTGGAACTACCTCGGTGAAAAAAGGATTATGCAGAGACTTAAATCGCTACTGAACCGGCTTTGTCTCAAGGCTTTGACGATTGGGTGCCATGCGTGTTTAGCCACAACTGGGGGCATGGAAGTTTGCTGGTATGATTCATTGCAAAGGTCACTGGTTGCGCCTCATGCGGCCCCTTTGCCCGGTAGGCTTAGCGTGCCTGTAATACGGACGGCGGTCACGGCTTTCCCCGGCCGCAAGATGCCTCTGTCTGCTTGGCGGCCGGTGCTCAGAACAGGTTTTCGGTCCGGCCAGCCGACCCTGGGCATCCACTGGAGGCACCCGCCGCGGCCGTCAGTGCCACCCGTGACCGCCTGCCGACCGGACGCCATGTCTCGGCCGCCGCTGCCGCCGCTGCCGCTGCCGCTGCTGCTGTTGCTTCTGCCGCTGCCGCTGGCTGCCGCGCAGGCCGGCCCGGCACACAGGCTGGCCCGGCGCCAAACGCCGCCCGCGGTAGACGTCAGCAGAACCTGCCTGCGCTGCATCTGTGCGGCGCGAGGCTGTGACTGGAGCACCGGCTGCCAGAACGACGTGTGCGGCGCGTACTCGATCAGCGAGGGCTACTTCCTCACCAGTCAGGTGACCAGCCGGTCGCAGCTCTACAAGAGCTACACCTACCAGGCGTGCGCCACCAATCCCACGTGCGCCACCCTGGCCGTGAAGCTCTTCCTGCAGCGGGTGCCCACGGACTGCGACGGCGATGGCGATATCGACTGCGACGACTTCGTCAGCGAACACTACTACGGTCCGGAGGCGTGTGTCGGCGCCGGCTGGATCAAGTTCTCCGACACGTGGCGCAAATACCGCGACTGTAAACGAGAATACGGACTGGTGTGAATGCGCTCAAGCATTCTGATAAATATGCGCCTGTGCACGTCATCTGGCTGCAAATCGCCATAGGCGTAAGCAATGTCGTAAGCATGGTGTGTGTGTGTGTGTCTCAGAAATGGCGTAAGCAATGTCTCTGAAAGTCTGGGGGGCGGCGGAGCAATACCAATTTCTAGATCTTTGCTCATGTACTTATGGTTAAATATTCTTCAAAAAGTCAGGCTATCATCCGCGTGCCCCTCAAACGGCCCTGTCCGCACGCTTATCCAATCGTCGATCCTTTGTGTCGATTCCACTTGCGGCGAGTCTTTTCTGTTGCCGCTCTGCATGTTAGTGGGAACGTGCCTATGCAGTGGGACACAGCTTATCACAAGTTGTTCTGCAACGTATGAACACGCATACCAGGCGGATGAGAAACAATGATTGTGTTAGGAATGGAGGTCTCTACCGCATTTTGAGGTTTGCCCGAGAGTGGAAGTCGGAAGAGGAAAACTCAACAACGAACAATGTCTGGCAAAAACTATTTCAACCCAGACTGTTTCCATAGATGCATAATACTACTAGATCGGAGACAGTTATGCCCAGTGTGCTTGGCATAAAGGGGCATTGTGCACAGGGGAAGTAAAACTCGCTGACCTTGCCGATGACGCCGGTGGCAAAGTGCATATTTTCATGAGACGCTTGGCGCCTAAAATGCTTGCAACAGAACATTCAGTTGACGGGCGCGACAAAATATTGCATCGCACTATGTCCGATCTAACATACATTTCGTTATACAACGTCAGCAGGCCTCTCCGTAAAGACCCTTACCGCGCTTCATATCCCCATAACATCTTTGTTAGATTTCATCCTAACCGCGCAACAGAAATATTGTGGGATTTTTAGTTGGTCGTTCGACTCGGTGTCAGATCGGCGACAAATTAGTGTAGTTCCTACGACCCGACCGGTCGGCGGATTCGCCCTTTTGACCAGGCAACTCGCAGTATCCTAAACTACTCGGTACAAAATACTGAAGAAAACCTAAATGTGGCGATTCATCTGGCCGCAAAGGTATGTTTCAGTACTTGCGATGCGGCCTGATATGATGCGGGTGGTGACTTTCAACGCACTGTGACATTGCGGAAGGCATTCGCATTGCAGTTTCATAGCTGCCTGCCCAGTTTTAATCTTTGGACCCTGTTGACTTTATTGGCAATGCCTCGATTCTGCCCCCCGTCCCCAGTGACGAGAGACATTGGCAGTTTAAATCAAGTCGGCAGGATAACCCGATCAAGGTAAAAGCTGATCTGTGTTCATTCAGACTGCGTTTTAAAGACACAGAAAAGGGTGTTACCTCACTGTGACAGTCACAAGCAACTAGCTTCCCTCCCTTTGATAAGAGTCGTGGGTTCAGTTTTGGATGCTGATAGTACTCTTCCTGAAAGGAAAGGACAGGAGGTGCGAATGGTCAGTTGCGAGTGCCAATGTTAATTTATGCCATGATTGCTTTGGTTCTCATTGAACATGGTCACATATATATGTGCGTTTACATATTTTTTTTTCTCTCTCTCTCTCTCTATTTATATATGTATGTATATATATATATATATATATATATATATATACAATTTTAAATGAAAGTGTGCACTCACCAGCCGGTAGCATCGACATAAATGGTCGAAGATTGGACAAGCGTACGGAAACGAGTGCAGAGTACATGTTTTTTGTGTAGATGTCGCTGGCGGCAGTACGCTGAGAACTGTTCAATAATCAAATATAGTCTCAAGATGTCCGCAGAGGCATGCCGAGAACTTTGTGAAATCAACGAAGAGTCTCAAAGTCACCGTAAGCGGGTCGTTCCTCATGGTCTGATGAAATAATATGCTGGTCTCAGATGAGACTATGTAGCAAGAGGTCTCATCGTTAGGAACGTGCAGCATCCTCCCAAGGGGACCTTAAGTACAAGTTCTTAAAAGTGATGATAGTTGAAGGTGGGCTCGAAGCGCACGCGTGGTTTTCATAATAGGGCATGGCCCTGAGGAGTCCCGCATCTTAGGTGTCACATCCGAGTGTTGCCTACCACCAGTGTAAATTCTGCAGTGTATTCGGATCCTTCGTCGTTTTTCCGTGGTCGAGAGAGCAAATTCAGCCGAAGATCGAGTTTAAACGCAAGGCCCCTGTCGTTTCCGAGGGTAGAGAAAGGCTGCTTTTGAGATTAGACTATCCCATAGTCTAGAACAGGTGTGCCTGCATTCCCAACAGCAAGAGTTATCCCGACATTAGTCGAATGGCATTGCACGAGTTGTGTGTGCGTGATCTCGCACACACAATTCCGGGCAGGCGTCCCCGCACACCCAGACGCAGTTCTGCGTTTCCTGCAGTGATGATGACATCTCACAACCTCATTGGACACCGGCTCGATGGCAGCTGGAGTTTGGTCGACACGGGAGAGTGCCGACTGGCGCAAGGCGCTTACGGCCATTCTCAGACGCACCAGGACAGAAAATATCACACACCGACCACGGAAACGAATAACTGAGACACTGACAGACGCACTGGTGATAAATAAAATGCATCGACAAGCTGGAGAACGGAAGCTGAAAAAGCGAAGGTGCTGCAGAAGGAAAGGATCAGCAGCGCGTAAACAGACACAGCCGAAACCAACAGGTCCTCCGCGTGGCACCAAAAGACGACCCGACGGCGTGATTCACCTGTCACATGGGTTTCGCACGTGTTTTGACAGATGGAAGGTGTCAAAGCACCTCTTACCTGTCACAAGCCCCACCATATCTCAGCAGGCAGGTAGGTATCGTGGATAGGCTGTGGAAATGGACATGCATTTTTGCGCAGACCTCGGGAAACCATCTGTAAGGCTGCCTTCCACAAACATGGATATTCTCAGCCAGAAAAGCCTTAACAACTACACTAACTTTGATTTCTGCGGGATGTGACGGTCAGGTAGCGACGTGCTAAGCGGGCCAGAGATAATGAACAGGAGAGAAGGCACCGCTGTGTTTCGAGATTCAGGTTTTGTACACACTTTCTTTTATACTTTTGAGTCATGAGCGAAGAAGGATGTTTGCTGCAATAGAGATAAATGCAATTTGGTTTTAGTTGCAACGTGACCAGACCAAATTCAAATGCGATACCTCTGTTGGTTTTCTAAAAGTTCCTCAACGTGACGCTTCAATTAGAACTTTATAAGGTTTATCTTTCACGTGACCTCATCTAGGGCTAAGAACTAGTTTAAAAACAGGCGTAACTTGTTTGAATGTTGCAAACAGAGGAAATGGAACTTAAAATTCTTTACAATGCACTCACCAGATCTTTGTTTAAACAAGAACCGCACTTGTTCTCACGTACCAAACTGCAGAAAGTTGTGTTACAAGTTAAACCGGTCCGGGTCATGCTGCTAAGGAATGTTTTGGTCCGGCTTTCTAGGTCGGACAGTTTTGTATTTTTAATTTTAACCTATAGAAAAATTATTACAAATCTCACGTAGATAAAAATGGCTAAATGGTTGGGCACAATGCAATGTCTGTCTGATGAAATGTCCTGCGATGCATTGGTGAATGCGAACATTATAACGGTAAGCCCACGTTCCCTACGTTGTGTCTGTCTTTGCCAACATTACGCCGCACCCACTAACAGCTACTTGCATCAGGCATCATAAGGCCACAGGCAGCAAAACTTAAGGAATACTTGTTATGCCATGCGTTGTAAATATGACTGGGGATTAAAACCCTCAGCAAATTATCCTTCCATGAACGATAAACACCCCGCACGCGATGTACGTCTACGTGGGCGCACTGATCTTCGAACGCGCAGATGGGTGTTCTCTGGACGCAGATCTCGGACATTATAGGGACAATCGGCACGACATCGCCGTATCGATAATGCAGCATCAGCTTAAACAGACAGCGCTGGATTGCTGGACAAGAATCGTCAGTGAGAAGCCGAGTACCGTGTGACATGGCGTCTCGGATCAAGAAATACTACCGTGATAGCCTCCTGGCGAAGATTCCTGGAATGCGTTAGCACGCGTTATGGCATATCGGATTACGCGGGTTCTTAAGTGCAGGACACAGGGCTCAGCGTCACCAGATCCCGATGCGCATTTGGAGCCCAACACCTCGGTTTTGATGCGTGCGCGCTGGCTGAGCTAGTCCCGCCTCTGTGTTGGGTCTGGTCTCCGGCGACAGCTGTGCACCAAACACTGTCATTCAAGTCAGAATGGAGACAAACAGTCTCGTTGGGTTTCCGCGCGGCTTTGGGAGCAGCGGAGCTCATCATTGGACGCGGTCGATTGTTCGCATAACCCACCCGAGCCCCCATTTTTACTGGGCGCTGGGAACATCACATCCGGGAACAGGGCGCGCCCACGCGCCCGGCAGCCCCACTGAACCGAGCATCGCGCTGCCTCTCTCTGCAATGCGATCCGACGCATCCCAGCGGCATGTTATTATAGCCTCGCCGGCGCAGATTTCATTTTAGCATCCGACTCGACGAGACGCGGTGCGCCGAAGACGCGGGTATAACCCGCCAACGACACAGGGCGTCACCTGGAGGTCTGTGGCGTACTCTGGACTCGTTATTGTGCTACACTGGACTGCTCAGACACTCGCTGATCTTGAACAGTATTCTGCTTTTTGTACATCATTCACGCTTGTTGCTCGAGTTATGTTTTTGTTAGGCGTCTGTGGCTGAGGTAGAGCTGAACGGTTTTGCACCATATGTTATCGATGACCATACCAACTTGACTGTACAGCCCTGCGTAGTCCAGTCCTGCTTTCGCGTAAACTGCATGACAGGCGTTTGCGCAAAGACAAACCGGGCATTTAGCGCCAAATTCATTTCATTCGTTGATTCATTGATTCATCTGCTCCATTGATTGCTATTGCAGACATGCCATCTCAAATAACCCGCGCTGATGCTCCTCAAGCTTTCCTGCCCGGTTGGGATGACGTTAGATAAAACACAGGGCTCTATATGTATGTCAAGGAATCAGTGCGTCACAGAGCTCAAGCCGG